TCACCCACTAAACCATGTCCCTAAGCACCATGCCCAACCTCTCCTTGAACACCCCCAGGGACGGGGACTCCACCACCTCCCTGGGCAACCCGTCCCAGTGCCTGACTGCTCCTTCTGAGGAGAAACGTCTCCTCATTTCCAACCTGAACCTCCCCTGGCACACCTCGAGGCCATTCCCTCTGGTACTATCACTAGTTACCTGTGAGAAGAGGCTGACCCCCAGCTCCCCACAACTCCCTTTCCAAAGCATTTTTCAAACATTAGGTGCTCAGTATTCAAAATTGGAAAGAGAGAGAGATTGGTGGTAGGGACCAGATATCTTGGAGGTCTTCTCCAACCTCACTGATCCTGTGATTTGTAGGACTGTCCATCATCCTCCTCCCCCCCGACACGACCCTAAATAACACCACATACCGTTACGGGCTAACAAATCCTTTCTCACTCTGGAACACCGTCCCCGAAAGACCAGGCGCTGATACAGGAGAGGATTACATCCACCACACCGCTCTTCGGGGTGGCAGCGCCCTCCGCCCGGGCGGCACAGCGCCTCGCCCAGCCACCGGCAGGCAGCCGGGCACCGCTTCACGGGGGGGAAGGCGCTCAGCCCCCACAGCCCCACACCACACGCCACCGGGCTGAAACTCGGAGTGGGCACCCCGGAGCCGGCAGCCTACACCCCCAGCCCTTACAACTTCACCCACACGCCCCTCCTCCACCACCAGAAGCGACGGACGGGAAAAAAATTAAATTTAAAAAATAATAATAATAACACATTACAAAGAGGGAGCAGAACGCCCTCCCCACCCCCTCCCCATCGCTTACCTCAACGGGGCCGGCGGAGGAGGAGGAGGAAGGACGTTGAGGGGGGATGGCAGCAGGCGCCGGGCTGGCCGCGAGCTGCGCCAGGCGGCGGTTGAGGCGGCTGAGGCGGTTGGCGCAGCGCGTGCACGCTGGATCTCGCGCGCGCGCGTGCGCGTGCACCCCGCCCGCCCCGCTCGGTGGCTGTGGGCAAGGCGGGCGTGAGCGCGCGCGCCACCTCAGCGGCGCGGCCCCGCCCCGCCCCGCCTCGCCGGCCACGTGACCGCACGGGGGTGGGCGGGGCCGGCGGCGGTTGCGTGGTGGCCGTTGCCCCAAGTGTTGTGGGGCGGCCGCCATGTTGTGTGGCCGGGCGTTGTAAGCGGGCAGGGTCCCTAACTCGGCGTGTCCTACAGCCACAGTTCCTCACAGCCCTTCCTCAGGGTCTTTTACTGCTATATCCCGCTGCTAGCCCCTCGTGACGGGGGGTTTTCACGAGAAACACGGCTTTTTGTTATGGGGTGGGGGGGTGTTGGTGGCTTCGCGCATCTCCCGCTGCATCCCTCTGTGGAGAGGCGGCGTGGTACCCGGGGAGGGCTGCAGGTGGCTTATTTAGTTGCCAAAAATTGCCAAACCCAAACGTGTCCAGCAGGTTAAGTGGGTATTTCAGGTCCGCAGCTGCCTGGCCCATGTGTTTTGTCATTTACGCTGCTGTTCAGGGAGTTTGCCTTGATGATGATTATTATATATATATAATAGCCCCGAGGCCCACTTGGTACTGATATGTACACTAAAACAGGATAATCTCACCCCAAGTGATACTAAACAGGATAATCTCACCCCAAACTGTACTAAACCATGGTAATCTCACCCCGAACAATCCGCAGTATAAACGAGAGAAGAGAGAAGTAACATGGTTGGAAATAAAGGCTCAGGTCTTCCAAATATGATTTTAGTATTATCACTATCCGTTGTTGCCTCTTTATTTTAGTGTACTTTTATTTGTTTACCAGTGACTTTTTCACCTGCCAGTCTGTTGGCTAGGTGTTTCCTTTGCTCCCACCTTGGTGTTGGAGCCGTTCCACGCTCTCACACCCGTTCTGTCTGGCTGTCACATAAGCAAACAGGCTGATTAACAAACCACTCAGTGCAGCTGATAGAGCCTCCTCAAAAATCTTTTGTACCAGCCCTACAAACAGATAAGACGATCCTTTTATTCATCTGTACCTCCTGGTGCAAGCTGTGTAAAAAATTATAGTTTGCTTATTTGCAAATAATGTATTTAAATCCCTTCGAGCATGGAACTAAACTGTCTATCCCTGCAGTACATGCGGTGTGTTTTTTCAAAGCAAGCAGTCCTTGGAAGAGGACACAAACACTGAATTACATGGATAGAGTGACAATATATTATATACAGATAGGTAAAAAGAACGAAAGGGCAGATTTCGCACCTGTCCGTTTTGATTATGTTGTAAATTCAGAGCCAGCTTTGGAACACTTTCTAGGGCGCTGGGTATGAGGATGCAACACAGATTAATGGAGCAATTTTCCACCCTTCAGTGCAAGCATGTTTCAGCTGCAGCAGTTTTCTAAAGATGCCTCCCATTTTATAATGGAGTCATAATAACCTAGCCATCTTAGCATAACATCTGCCACAAACACATAGTCTGTGCTTCAGCTAAAAAGGCAAAGCATCCATAATAGGGCATTTCCCATCTTTACTGTGTTCCTTATTTTGCATGCTAGTTCCTCAGTTTCTGAGGGTAACTGCACCAGAAGTTGCTCTAACAATATTTTCATTTGTGTTTCCAGTGATCTTATCTTTGCCAGTCATAACAGCCAGTGATTTCTCAGCTGAGGGGGTTCTCCTTTCCAACACCAGCCAGAACAGTTTGCAGGGAGGTAAGAGGTAGGGGGCTAAATTTATGGCATGTCCTCAAATATCAAATTTAAGACAGATCCTATTATAAAATTAAGCCTAATCCAAAAGCAGGCCAGCTTCTTAGCTGACAGAAAAATCTTAACTTGAAAAGGGGTAGCAAATTGGTAAGTCATGCTTTTTTATTTCAGACCTGGAGAAGGAGCTTCTGATTAAAGGGGTATTCATTTGAAAACACAATGTTTTCCCCTTAGGTAATCTTTTCCATTCCAAAATCATCATCTCCAGACAACCAGAAGGTCTGAAGTAGACAGCCTTCATTATTTTCCTTTTATGTTCTCTACTCTTTCGCGCTTAAACACAGAAAATTAAAATCAAGCTGTAAAGATGATGGCTTTCGTTTTCTGCAGCTGTATTAAGTGAGATTTGTTTCCGTTCTGGCTGCATGGGGCTCCACACGTACTGGTGTAGATAGGATCTCTCTATATCTGTATCTGTGTGTGATTTGCAATCCTTGTTGAACCATAACTCACCGGTAGTTAAACCAAGGCCTCCAGGCCACGACAGACACGCCACCTCATTTATGCTTATTTTGCCATTTCACCACAAACGTTGCTGTTGTTCTTCCCCATCAGGGCTCTACCAGCCACCTGAGCCACCGGAATATTTAATCACACCAGCAGTCCCACTGTACTCGATGGACTCGTTTGCTGGTTTGGGCTATTTGGCTGTCAGCACACTCAGCTCAAGTCTCACGTGAGCAACATTTCTCCATTCTTTGTCAATCATTGGCGGGTGTTTCACAAACCATCTTCTGATATGGACATGATAGAAATCCTTATCTGTGCCGAAATCACAGCCTAATTAAGTAGGAGTTTGTATTCTACTACTGTTAGTGTGAGTGGTGAATAGTAAATGGAACTGACTGTAGCAGATAGGATGGGTGGCAGGAGATGAAGGCTGGGGAAAGAGAAAAGATGTTGCATTTGAAAATGTGCGGAAGGAGAAAGATTACAGGAAAGACATCCCACAAAATGAAATAGGAAGTGAGACAAGGAGAAAAGTCAGCAGAATGTAGTTGCAGATGAATCTGGTGTTTTCCTTCCTCCCCTTGCAATCAGTCTCTTCCCCTCACTGTCCCTCTCACCTTCATCTCCAGAAGCCCTTGTGGAACAGAGTTCCTCTAATGTTTTTCACTTTACAGCTTTTGTTGCCCTTTCCTCTGGCCAACATTTTGCTTCAGTTCTTAAAACTTACTCTCCTTTTAGCAACACTGGAAAACTTGGAAATGCATGGAAATAAAGCTCAGGTCTTCCAAATATGATTTTAGTGTTATCACTATCCGTTGTTGCATGGAAAGATTTGTTTCAGGTGTCCAGTCAGTGCAAGCGCAGTTTAAATGAAATATTGTTCATGCATTCCCTTTATATTTGTTTCCAAAGATACAGAGAGGAGGTCCACCCTAGACTAATTAGTTTAAGGATGATCTCATTTTGCAGTTAGCTGCCTCAAATATTACTGCTTTACATGTTATCAAAATACGGTTTATCAGTCTCAGGCCACTGACAGATCTTCCTCAATAACTGGCAACAAATCCAGAGATAATTCTCAGAAGAAGTCAGGAACACGTGGAAACACAATGCCTTTACTTTGGTGCTACACAAAGTCTGTCTTTCACATCTTTGAAATACACACTTTATAATTTTGGAAGGTGATTAGATAATACAGTTCATATACAACACTTTCCCACATTTAAATAATGAAAAAATATGAATTTATAATATACTCCTCAATTGGAATATAAAGGGTATTCCGGAGTACTGCAGTATATTCTGGTATTCCAGTATGTTCCAGAGTTCTGGAATGGAATATACTGGTGACAATACTTGATCCAGAAGTGGGATTTCAGTTAAATATTGCAGCCAGTGTCTGATTTTAAATATAGTCAAATGGTTCTGTGTGTTTGATAGGCAATTCTGTTTCTTCAGAAATTATTTGCATTCTATTGGTATGTAAGGGACAGAGATTGAAACGATTTTCTTAATCATCAAGGAGAATAGAATGTAAATTTTACACTTAGGTTGCAAGAAAAATTTCATCAAGCATATATTCAACAATTCTGTTAATATTTAATATGAATATTTAATATCAATGTTTTGTTTACATTTGTGAACATCTACAGCTTAAATAATAAACATGAAAATTTAAAGGTTTTTTTTATTTTTTTTAATCTTTGCAATATATATTTATGTATTTCAATTACCACGCATAACAGCACTATACATCTGCCTAGAAAATATTTTCCAGTAGAACAATATTATTGTGACTGCATTTCCAGCTTTTTGAGGAACCATCCAAATTTAAAAAAAAAAAATCAAACCACATTCTGATCCCTTTTTATTTAGAGTTAAAAAAAAATGAATTGAAATATCAGGAGAATTCTGATTTTTCTTTCAACAAAAAGCTAAGACCTGATTCTGCTAAAATAAGAGCAAAAGGATCCACCCTTGGCTTCACAGGGAGTAAAGTGGGCTTCATTATCTGAGGTTTGGTACTGTTTCAGTGTTCTTCTAAGTTCTGGCTTGTTTTCCATTAAAACACATGAAAAAAGCCCTGGCAGGAATTCTGCAGGAATTGGACCAGGCTCTGAGTGGTAGAATCTGTTCTATTTATAACTTATACACTGCCATTGATGGCTGTGCGAGAGAGAGACAGACTTGCAACCCAAAAGGACTGTAAGAAGTGATGGATTTTTAGTTAGGTAAATCAGGCTGAAATAATAACCATGGCAAAGAGAGTTAAGAGTCATGTGAAACAACCTGCAGCTGTGGAACATTTTGAAAGGCCAGACTGTAACTCTCTGGCAGCGTGATGTAATCATACATCTGTAGATATTTATCAACTTCTGTAACAACTGCATGAGCACCTACATGCACGTAAGGTTCTAATTTAAAGTGTCTCCTAGCTTGGAAATGCTCCTTCCTGTACGAGACCTACATTTGGGTAGTTCCCTGCCATGCTGCTCCAGTCTTTTGCTAATTTAAACTATGATACATAGATGAAGAACAAGATGCAATGTAATAGTGAATAAAGCTCTGTGTTAAACAGTAGCTAAGTCTAGCAGGATCATTTTAATTGTACTAGATTTTAACTTTCTACTACTTTTTTTTTTTTTACTTTTTTTCTCTTTTTTTTTTTTGGGGGGGGGGGGCAGGGTAGGGTGTAGCAGTCAATATTTAAGCCAATATAAGATTCTTTGTTTTTCTTTTTCACCCTAACAATTCTATAAAGATGGACTAGAAACTGGTATTTCTCATGTTTTCAGTATATCCACTTCTGTCGTAGATCTAACACCCTAGAAGTATCTCCAGGGTTTAGCAACCTTCCATCAGCAATACATCTGGAGATAGCCAATATAATATGACTGAGCCTTCCAAGAATTGAAATCAATAAACATATTTTTCTGGTAATTAAAATATTTTTATTTCTTGTACTTAATAATTTCTGGTGACTTAGAAGTTGAATGCAGGTTGCATATTAACAAAAGAAATTCTGGCCTTTCCTTTATTGATCTTTCAGGTTGAACTCTTCGTCCTCCAACATATCAGAGCTGCCCACAGGCTGCATTTTCTTACATCCTCACTAAATAAATGTGTGAATGAACACAGTAATGACTTAAAGCAGAGATTCTTGGCTTATATGTAGGCACACACAAAGGCTGCGTGGGCTATATATATGTAGACTTAAATGTAGCTGACTCCTGTGGTTCATAGGAAGCCACTGGGCCTGATCCCAGGGAGGAGAAGAAGAGGTGCTTGACTGCTTTGGTGTTGGGCTGAGTCACTGGGGGGAAGGAGGACAGTGGGTCTGGACAGGCTTTGGAAGCAGAAATATGATTTCAGTAGCAAAAATGGTGTAGAGAAATGTGCATTTGGGGCAGTTGATGCTTTATGGGTTAGTGCTATATCCACAGTACTTCACCAAGGCAGGGAGGGAATTAAGGAAGTAGAAAGGACTGGAAAGCAGTCATGTGAATCTCAGTGGTAAGAAATACCAAACATCGTCCATCTGATGAAAGAGATGTGGATGAGAGAAACCTGAACTGAATGAAAACCTACCTGTGGCCTCCCTGTGGCTGTAGGAGATGGTTCTGCTTCTGGAGATCTTCCCCTGTGGCTTCAGTGGTCACGGTGAAAAGTGCAGCCCACGTGTCATGAAAAGAACCGTATGTACGGTTTCTTTGAGAAAGGAAATGGGGCCTGCCTCAAGCTATGCTTGGCCTACGAGTATTAACAGATCCACAAAACCGATACCGACATTCTTTTACAGGGCAGTAAAGTCAGCTATTTACTGGACAGGATTCATTCTAACAACCTCTGTTTATCATGGACATTTTCTAGCAATTAGAATCACCTTGCCAGCACATGGGGCGTTATCAAGGTGCTTAGAAAGGTCTGCAATACAACCACTCTGATACTGAGACCTAAGTGGACGCCTACTGTGCATTTAAAGTTATGAAGTATCACAAATCATATAAAAATAAACACAAACTTTGGTGTTAAAGTACTATGGCTAGCCTACCACCCATGAAAACTCAGCTAAAACGTATTAGTACATAGTAAGATCACAGCAAGATCATACTTTTCATTCAAGAACATTGGATTTAACTCGAGGCTTTTTTTTTTTTTTTTTTTTTCCCAGTGGTTTCTTTCCCTGTTTCCAGGCCTTCTGTGGGCTAAGGAACTGTTTCTGCTGCTGCAGCCTTTTCATCAGTCTTCTTTGCTGTGTTCTGGTTGCTCTTTGCATCCTTTTTTTTCTCCACTGTGGGGATTCCTTTTGGGTCAGGTGTCTCTTCTGTGGCAATAATTTCATCTACATGTGGCTTAATAAAATCTGATTTAGGAGAAGCAATAAAATTTCCTTTGTATTTACTATAGATGGTAACATGGACGAATGCAGAGCTAGATTTTTGTTTAGCATTGTTTATGACCTTATTATGTTCTTTTCCTCTTCTTATACCCATTCAAAGAGATTCAGTATCACAGACGCTACTACTTTTCACAGAGCCAAAACCAAGCCCAAATATTTATGATCTCTAATTAAATAAGTTAAGGGATAGAACCTGCAAAACATTTACATGCACAAATAATTGTTTCTTACGTAAGTCATCTCATTTACACAACTGCTCAGAAATGTCCAAGTTACCCATAGCAGCAAGGCAAGAGAGGAAAGAAATGCTGTTAATTACTACTTCTTGCCTTAGGAACCAAAACAGGAGGAGTAAGATTATAAAATGGTCTGTCAGCAATGATATAACATTTTTACAAACATTTTGTTTGTACAAATGTATAAAAACAAAAAATACTTGGGTAAAAGAACGTAAAACATATATTCCGATAATGTTGGAATTTAAGCCTTATTTGGAGCTAAAATGCCCTACATAAGGGAAATGTAGCTGTGAAGAATAAATCAATGTCCAAGTAGCAATTATATAAAAAAAAGAGGCTAACCAAAGAGAAAAAATCTGTAATACACAAGAATGCTGAATCACCAGAGGGCTTTTCATTTTCCACCCTTTCTCTAGACTGGATGGAAATATGGTTGATTATAATTCCAACTTCAACATTCAATATGGACATACAACGAAGAGAGAATAATTTATTGATCTCAAATACCCATATGGTCAGAGTTTTCTAAAACACTTTGGCATTTACCTAGCCTATATATATATATATATATATATATATATATATTATTTATTTATTTTTGCAAGTGTCAAATGTCTAGCTGGCAAAAATAATTCAATCTGTATATTTACATATGCTTAGGAAATATTTCCTCTACATTCAGCAATTGGACAGTAACATTATGGCTTAAAAAACTTCTATCAGTCAGCTGAGCCAAGGTGAGAAGTGGTAGCTTGGTGGGATGGGGACTTAAATCTCACTGAGGTTTAACCTGGCAATTTGTACTTTGCATTTGTTGTCATTTAAGAGCATACATACAGTAAATTTGTTTCTTTGGGACCTGTGAGGTGATGATCAGTACAGACTACTATCTGCATAATGTTCAACATTTTTTTTCCATTGGAGCAGCTGTCATATAGATGAAAGCACTCTTACCTTTCTTCTCCCCTTCCTTATGTTGTTTGCTTGCTGTAGTTGCCTTTTTCTTTTTAGACAGAGTTACGTTATTCTGACTTTGTCCTTGGACACTAGCAGCATGCTTAGCCATGTCAGTCTGGCCTGACACAGAAATCACAATCACCTGAAGCAAAGCAAGAACAGAAAATGCACAAGCGAGAGATGGGGACTGAGTCCCAGGCAGCAATATGTTTAGAAACAACTACTCCTTGAATTTTCAGGGCACATACGTCTTCTGAACCAAAGAGAAGCAGAATACTGATTATTATCTGGGAGATGACCCACTTCTTATATTCCCTTGCCAAATGGAATTTGCCATTCTGCCAAATGGATGGAGGCAGCGGGACAGATTTTTGAAGATGCAATAGTAGAAATAAGCTGCTGCCAAAATGCAATTATCATTTAAATTATGCTAAGGCTAAGTAATAAACATCAGCTACCAGGACTTGCAAGGAGCAAGTTAGATTCTTGTTTGCACTTGGGAAGATGGACAAGAGATGTAATGTTGTTGCTTTTACATAGCGTAACGTTCTGGGTCGAGGATGGAATGACCTGCTTATCACCCCTGAGCTGGCCTCATATTATACTAAGAGAAATTATCAAATAATTTGACATTTCTTCTCTAAACTCAGAAAGCTTGATGTATCTCAAATTACAGATATTCTCCTGCTAATATTTTGAAATATAATAATTAAGCTATTTTACTTTGTCTGAAACACAGCTGTGTAACTAGTCTGATTTTTTTTTAACTGAGATTGTGATTGATTTCTGTCCATAATTGCACACTTAAGATTGCAGTAATCCCAATAAATATTATTAAATAAAATTAAATATTTGAGTTTAAAATATTTTAGTAGGTAAGGCCGTGTGATGACTGAACACATTTACGTTTATGTGAGATGCTGAAAACATGGTAGCTTTATGTAATTTCATGTTAAAAATAACTGATGTGAAAACCATTTTGGAAGAAAAAAGATGTATACCAGATAAACCTAACATGTCCCAGTGGTACTTTTCATGGATAACATTAAGCACATGCTAAAATGTTTTGATATGTTATAAATCTGAATTAAATCTGGATGTATTTTTTTGAATTATTAATATCGTTATTAGTTTCTATACTCTAATTTTTTTGAAGACAAAGACCTTTAAACACAATGCCAGCAAACCAGCACTTAATTCTCCATGTACTAGACATTAAGAATTCCCTCATGCACCCACTTGGCCTTTAATATTAGCTGTAGTTGACAGTAAGCCTCAGATGGCAAGGATTTAAGTCAGCATTAGCTGCACAGCACTTACACAGCACTGTGTATTCCTCATAGAAATGCCGATACTGCAGCAAAATGAGTGCCTGGGAAACAGCACTATTTCTGCAGCCACCATAGTGAAAAATGATGAGGAAGTATGTAAAGGATGCTCACAGATCATCCTTACACATAACACTGGAAATATATACAGTTGTTCTTTAGATTTTGATGTGAAAAATCACTGTGCTGCTGCGAGATCAGTTCTGAAAAGAATTATTAGTATGGCATAATATCATATCATACGTGTATATGTCCAAGAGGATGGAAATATATATGCATTCTGTTGCTATTCCTCAGCTAATAATCAGTGACATTGTTGTAAAATGGCTGACAAGGAGTTTTTCATCTATAGAAGTGTGTTCAGGATCTGGACAAATGGTTCTGAAATATTTTTGGATCTGGATGAAAGGTTCTTAAATATTTTTGTCTGAAAAAAAATACTTTTTTTTTTTTTCTCAATTCCAGTAAGATTATTTTTGTACCCTCAAAGGATCTAAAAGAAATATGTTATTTCTGATCTTCAGTGTTAAATGTGGATGAAATTAACTAGGGTCTCAGTCTAACAACGTACTTACCTACCACCCTTCAATCAAAATTCACGATCAGGCCCTTTGAACCACATGAGACTACTCCTGTGCCTCAACTGGCAAAAATACCTTTGTGAGCTGAGATGTGAAGCAGTGAAGGTCTGGACAGAGAAACGTGAAGTGATGCCATCAGGGATTTTGCAGTGACAAGTAAAGTGAAGATTAACATGGATCTAAAGGAAAGCTAGAGGTAAATAAAGTGGTGAAAAGGTTAAGATAATAAGATAATGTGAACAACCAGGAGAGCCGTGACTGGTAAAACATGACTCAGTGAAACAAACTCATGACAGAATGAAAGAAGTGAATCCCATTTATTTGTGAACATAGAGGAGTTCATTCATATTTGTAGACACATGCAGACATCAGTAGTACTCTAGCCTCCTAAGTCTTCATTTTCATTTATATTACAGTACTTTTACCCCAATTGGGCAGATTAAACAATATTTATGGATGTAAATTACACCCATATTAAGGCCTCTCTAAAGTAACACAGCAATACAAGGGGGCCTTAATGTAGACGAAAACCAGCACTAACTTCTCCAAGGTTTGAATTCTCTAACACATTCCATCTATGCTACTTTAACAAAGTTGGAACAAATCTAAACTGCAGCTGAGAAATGCCTTGATCTTTTTTTATCTTTCCATCTGCCTCATCAGTTGCCTCCACTCAAATCCTTTTTCACCCTCTTCATTTGTGTTGTGTGGTCAAGTGCCCCAGGAAGGGGGTCAAATTGCAGACCAGTGTTTACAGCCAGCATGCATTTGGCTGGGGTGAGAGGATGGCACAACAAGGTTCTGTGAAGTTAGCAGTGAGAAAATACTTAGGAGATGCACTATTTTCCCTGGCACAATTAAGGGCTTTAGGAACACAAATGAAATGAATGGAAAAATTCAAGGCTACCTGCTAAAACAGAAAGCCATTTACACACACACATTATGTCAGCATTGTCATCCAAAACCTCCCCCATACTTCTGTTTCCTAGTCTTATATTCACGCTTTCGTTTTCTTATCTTCTTTCTTATTTTCTTGCTCTTCCTCTGGTATGAACACACTTACAGTGACATCACTGGTCTCTGTGCCATACTTGTTCTTCACCACGAGGCTGTACTTCCCAGAGTCGAGTGTGGACACAGCAGAAATGGTGAAGTTGACGTTCTTTCCAGATTCAAATTTCAGGATGCAGTTAGCATCCGATACAAATGATTTTTCATTCTTCAGCCATGAGACCTCTGGGGTAGGATCTCCCCAGACAGTGCAAGACAGATTGAGTGCCTACAGAAAAAAGTATGAAAGGATTATATGTAAGAGTCAATAAATACTTGCTGTGTTTTCTGATGCACAATTCTCCAAATGTTCCACCTCCTCCCATTTAGCTTCCTGCTTTTAGGAAATGGATACATGTCATCGTCAGTGATCAATAGTTTTTGTCACAGTCTTCAGTATCATAAAGAAAAATAACTCAGTTAATTCAAAAACTCCATTACGACCTTTTCAATATTTTATGGACCTTCTTCTCTGCTCTAATAATGATTACTGGGATTTTCTCCATGCATAATGTTTAATACAAAACCAGATATCAGCTGCATTTTTGTGTTAGACCCAAAATATGAATTTAAGGACCTATTAGATGGATTTGTTCAGGTTAAGCTCACTATGTATTTGCCACAGAAGTAAAGAAAGCCTGTCTTCCTTTTGGAAATAATGACTAAGGGCAAAGTGTCCCTGGAATATTTTGTTTAATTTAGGATCTTTTTAAACCATGCCCTGACAGCTCTTTCAACTACCTTAATTTGTTTTATGCAGTCCTATAAAACTATTTTTAACCGAAATCAAAACAGACTTTACTGTTTCTTTGGTGCTCATGTAAGTATATCCCTTTGATGTTAGTAAGCTTCCTAAGTCCAAACAGACTGAAGGAAGCATCTTCATTATCAAGTCAGTTGTTGGAGAGATCACTAGCCGTTGAATAGATTCTGCAGGCTGGCACATCTAAGGTGCATACAATGTTTGGGTCTCTTTTATTTTTTGCTGTTGTCAACTGAGGCATATGTGTTACATATGGACATCACAAGGGATGCTGTTATCCCTTCCTCCACTCACAATGCTGTAGAAATCTTCTCAAAGAGTTTGCAACAGTGAACATCACATAGAAAGTCATATGTAAAACATATTCACATGAATCTTTAGTTTACATACACCTTTCTCTGACCTTTATTTAGTAAGGAATTGATTTATGTCTAAGTACTAAATAGTACATTGCTCCAAACTGAAAATATTCCTCAGAGAGAAATCTAACTTTTCCTCTTTTTCCTCTAGCAAAATTTGAAAAATACACTACAGAGAAAATGGTCTTCAGTGGTACATAAGGAATGGACAAGGTTCTGCTTGACTGAAAGCAAGTTTCTCGTCCATTTTTTAAAGGCTTTTGATAAAAATACATCAAAAATAGAGACAACTGAGGAGGATCACATTGTGACCCTATATATTGTCATGTCAGAAAGGCACTGTACCTCTGAGAACAAAAATCATAATCACAGAAATCCCAAATCCTAAAGAACAGAATGAAAACAAAAGGGAGGGTGAAGTGTCGTCCCCCCCCCACCAACACATATATCTTGGTACTGAAGGAAAGACACATTCTGGGTGTGGGGTGGTGAAAGCCTGGTGGAAATGGCCCCTATCTGATTTCCTGCAGCACCTACAGTTGATGACAACTTGGGGATTATGGATGCCTTCTCCTGTAGCCCACTGGTAAGAATGTGGTTTTGACCATATCAGTTCATCTTTTCAAAAAGATGGGGAAAACAAGTGGTTTTACATTTCCCCCTTTTCCTTAACACTCTCAGTGCAAACATGTCCTCAGCCTTGGTCTCAGCCAAGAATTGCACGTGTCCCTTTTGGCATTCATTATTTCTTTAATGTGTTCTGGTTTTCTAGCAAACAAGAGATCATCACTAAATTACCCCATCTACCACTCCAAGATGATAATAAGCTCATGTCCTTGTCCAGGCTGCTCTAATAGGGCATCATTCAAACCTCAGGTGTTTGAAGTGGTGCAGTACCCCTTAATTCAAAGGAATACAGCATCAACGATGACTGTTTTTTCTTCTAAATCATTCCTCAAAATAGTCACATTTGGCTTAACCTTGCATCACTAGCTCCGGTTTGACATCTGTGCTCCTCTTTACGTTCCCAACTCTTGTTAATTTTCCGGCTATTAGTGTGTAGAGATATATCTTCTAATCCACTATGTTGATGGCAAGATCTCTGGTCATGCCAAAGTTTTCTGGAAGACAGTTCCATGATTATAGAGCCTTAGCCAAGCAGAAGTGGTTACCCTCAGTGACTGTACCTGTCTGCTTCAGATTTCCTGTTCTTTGGGCAGGTTACAGTTCTTGCTCATGTATTCATGTCTGTACTACTCACAGAAAACCCTGATTATAATGCAGTATTTATCCTGAAATACCTATCCCAGTAAAAAGTGTGTCCTGTCCTGCTAAGGGTAAGAGGCACTTTTCCCCTCCAAAGTAATTCACCTTTTCCAGTAGTTGTCTGGCTCTGATGATTGTCCAGTGGGGAAAAAAAGAAGGGGGTGGAGGGTGGACTAGAAACATGTCTAGATGTTACAGTGAGTAAATGGCATCTATCAGGAAATCTGATCTATCTGAAAAACCCTGCACAAGTAAACCTCACTTCTTTCAACCACATCTCCATATTTCAAAGCTCCATACAGAAGTTCACATCATAAATCTGCAGCTGGGACACCGATGTCTGTGCACATGGAGCAACCAGGTGCTGCAAGTCCAGACCCTTTGTGTCTCTGCTTGACTTTTCTGCATTTCACTGCAGATTAGCATGAGTAGGGTATTGCAGATAGGGTGAGGAAAATGTGTCATAGTTCAAGTATTACCATTCCACCTGCATATTATCACATACTCACATTTATGGGCAGTTTGGACTAAGATGCCAGGGTATTAATTAAAACAGCTAAGTTATGGGAACGTGCTCCTTCTTCCAGCCTACCTATAAGGGCACCCTGGCAGAAGGGGAGAACAGGGGGAGCTGGTGGGCAGGAGGATGTAACAGGTCACTTCTAGGTCTGAAAGTGCCTGTCTGCCAGGATCCAATGTCTCCTTTGAAAAATAAAACCCTTACTTTTGTTAAAACAACTACTTAGGTTAAATTGGCCATCTAGTTTTGTCTGATATGAACTTCCCTAATATGAACTGACACTTAGCCTTTTCCAATTATAACCCAATGCTGAAGAGCTTTTATGTCTATCAGTGGAAGCCTCTTAGGCCATCTGTAGCACTGTTTGATTAACACTAGGTAAGTGCTGGCTCATGTATTCCCACACATATCCTTCAGCTCATGTGTAAAAAGCCAGTCAATAGCATCGCAATCGCAGTGTTAAGTTTAAGTTTGAGATCAAGTTATGGCTGCACTTGTATTCAGCACCAAAACTTGCAATTGCCAGTTCTCAACTACCTCATTTACTCTTATTCAAAACCCTTGCTGATTGTGCAATTTGCATGGATTACACACCAGGTACAGAAAACCATCCTCCCCCTCTCTCCAGCATATATGCAAGCAGTAGGCAGATGAGCCAACAACACCCAAACAGGCAGTGCTTTCCCTGAACGCTCTCTGCCCTACTCTGTTTCTCAAAAAGATCATCTACAGAATCCAGACACATAAGGTCAATGATATTTGTCTCGAGTTCTGGGAGTTTTCCAGTCGCTTATTCAAACATCACAAATGTCCTTGCTGTCAAGGACAATGTGTGTCTGGGTAAGATTTTGCAACTCATTTTTTTTATGAGCTGCTTTTGTTGTAAACTACACAATTTGCTTTAGTGAGCTTATACTCAATTTCAGCTCTCTTTTGTCAGGTTTAACCTGATAATAATCACCCAAATTTATCCCCTGCCAAACCTGTATGAGAATCTCATATTCAAGCAGAAACAATATTGTCTGAAATTCTGCAAATTCATTCTATTTCTTTCTGTCCTCTGCCTACAGTTACAATACTTGTATGAATGCTGCTTATTTTTACATCATTCCATGAGCCACTAAATCCTTTAATGAAAAGTTTAATCAAATGTTATTCCATTTTATAATGTCAAGATGCTTAATTTTCCCTGAACTGCTGCAGCCCACTATCTGGTGGCTATGTTTGTTGTCTTGCATTGTCAAGCTTTTAGATTTTTAATGCTTCTGCTCAGTTTATAATCAAGTACCTCTAACCCAGCTGACCCTACTACCAGAAAAAATATGGAAATATCAAGAAGCTGTCTTACTGTAGTTATCCTGTTACAGCTTTTCAACTACATTCAAATGTCTCATTTCAGTGTTCGCCCACACTTTGAAAAGGAAGTGGCTTATGGCTGACCAGAGGGAGGTGAAGAGCAGATGCTTTTGGTCTCAGTGCTTGTAGAAGCAGAGTGCTGGGAAAAGGTTACAAGATTATGAACTGACTTCCTGGGATGTCTGTCCTGTGCTTGAGCAGCGACATAGCTGTGTTCCCCTGTGACTGCCTTACAATAATCTTTTAGCCAAACTCTGCTAATATAGTCCGATGTAATACCAGTGACTTCCTCTGACTTCCTTCCCACTAACCCCAATGAAATAGAGAAAGATTTCTCCTTTGGTCTGAAAGAGAATTGAGTTAGAAAGGTTTACTGCTTTTAGCCTGTTTAAAAGGCAGCTTTGACAGATCTGACTATCAGTTAACTCCGTAAGACACAAAATGTGTAACTATCCTATAAAAAAAAGGGAATCAAAATCTTCCTTGGTACCCTGTTACAATAAATAGATAGATAGATAGATAGATAGATAGATAGATAAACCTAACAGTGAAACCTGCGCATGAATTTTTAAAGAGCTGGTTACATAAGGAATTTTAGTCTCAGCTCACATTGTCATCTCACTTTTATCTAATGCTTAAGAAAAGACACTGCCCTAAATAAATAAACCCATCTGTGCAAGACCACTGCATTATGTACAGAAGACAGGGAATGAATAAATAATGTGGCAGATTTTAAAGATGGAATCTTTAAAAAAAAAAAAAAAAGGTGAATATTTTGCTGTCATTGAAAGGCATTCAAGCTGTTCAGCTGTTGTGTAAAGCTTTGGTGAATTCACTGTACCTTGCCTTCCTGGATGGTGACAACATCGGGCAAACCTCCAAGCACCCGTGCACGGTCTGAAAAGAAATGAACATAATTTTCTTTAGTCTCTCAAAATCAACTCTGTCCCAGATTCTGTTTCCCCTCTAGTTCTTTCTTCTTATCTTATTTATGTACAACTTGTCTCTGATATCTGCGCTAGGACAGAATTACTCAGCATTCTTAGCACACCATTTGGACTTTAGAAACGTTTGATTCACAGCAAAAGAAGTGTTAACAGCTGGCATCAGTCACTTACAGGAGGGAATTAAAGTCCATGTGCTGTGTCCTGCAGATTTAGCCACTGATTCAGTGTTGCTTGTGATTACACACGCACACACAAAAAAAAAATTGAATTTTTGAGATCTGGTGATCTAAATTTTTAGTGTCATAAACTAGAAACGTGTTTCTGCTAAGACAGTGCTGAAGATTTGGTTTTGATCTAAAAACAACAACAGGCTTCAGTCTTGGTGACAGCAGTGAAATGCCACCCCTTTGTGTGCACCTGGACGTAAACAAGGTCGGTATCTGCTCTACAGGTTAAGCTCAAAGTCCCATAGGAATCTTACATAAAAACAAATAAGCTGATCACATGCAGGCTTTCAGGTACCTATTCTGGAACATGGATTTTTTTAGTTGTAAGTCCTGGTGGAGCCTGGCAGAGGAAGGACGTGACTATAGAGCATGTTCTCATCTAATATACTCTGTAAAATATATACTCTGGAGTAAATGGCAACTTGATGAAGTAATGAGCATGACTATGTTGCCTGTGCCAGCCCTCTATGAATCATGCAGAGTTAGAAATGAATTGCCCAGGGCAGGGCTGTTCCTGGTCCTTTCCTGCCACCTCAGCTGGAACTAGCAGGGATTGCTGTACATAGCCCAAACCCTTCCCATTTGGAATCTATGTCCAATGAGGAGTTAGCTCAGATCCCTCTACACATTTTTCTCCCCCAACTTTTCTCACTCCAGTTATGCCCTATGATGGGAACAGGAGCTTATTCTGGAAAAGTCCACGTAACCCCTTCGTAAATTGTCAAATTAAATTGTCAAATTAGCGGCAATGTGCAAAATGTTAAATCATGCTCCTTGCTTCCCTTGGTGTAAGGTCAACTAGTTTTAGGATGCGCACAGGTATGTACATGTGCATACATGCCCCCCTCTCTCTCTCCCAACACACAACTTTCCTGTATAGGAAGAAAACCTTCATAAACAGCTTATTGTGATTACTGTCAAAGAAGGCCCACTTACTTTTCTCTGCAATCGCAGCTTGCCTGGAGTTGAAAGAAACAAAAAGAAAATCCAATTTTATTTAAGGTTTACTTAGAGTGATGGAAAAATAGCTCGTCTTTTAAATTGCCTTAATCAGTTAAAAGAAAATGCCTCTTGTCATTTGGCAATACTGCTTTTTCTTCATTACCTAACTGTTACATAAGAGTTATACCAAAGCAGTCACATGCAAAACTCCTACAGGCTTCTGTAGGACTAGGATTTGTTTCATACAATATTTTTAGCTCTAGCATAAAACAAACAAATACCATTATTATTTTATGGGTGCCATTGCTGTATTTGGATTGCAGTAATACTTACTTTAGTCTCTGGAACTCAGCAAAGGCTTCATCAAATGCTTTGTAAAGAGAAAAGTTGATTTTAAAGGTAGGTTCAAAGATAGGTCACCACAAGTGTTCATTTAAAATGCAGAAATTAATTTAAAATGTAGACATCATTAAAGAAATACTCAAGTATGGACACATGCTGAGATACTGTATAAGCCCTAAAATGCTGAGTGGTTCAACTAATAAAGGCAGTCTTGTATATGGTAACTATTATATGTACATATGCATACATAAAGACAATTGTTTTTTCTACTAAAGGTCAAAAATTGACACAGAGTGATAGGAGAATGATAGGCTGAAATTACCTCACAAAGCAGAGGAGGAAACCCAAAATATACCACACTAAAGTCATCCAAACTTTTTTTGATCACAACCCCCTATTAGTAATACAATTTTGAGTACCCTCCATATGTGTATACACAATTCTTAATAAATTATATACACATGCTACTGAAGTTCTTGTGTGTTTTTTTTTTCCTGCACCCCAGTGGATTGTCATGTGTACCCCAATTTGCAGACCACTCACTTATGATACAAGAGATTTATTTTTCCTAAGTGCTTTTCACACTTTTTCTCAAAAAATGAGGATAAAGAAGGAGCAACCCAGAGATGCTTGTAAGTATATCATCCTTACACAGATCTTACAGGCCCAAAGCAAAGCTTTAGGGATGGGAAATGCTGGGGATGGAAAGCGGAAACTCAGAAGTAGTTAATCTGCTTCCTAGGTTCTGAGAGCTCTCTCAGAGTAAGAGCTTCCATCAGTCAGTCGAATTAATTTTAGCTGTTCCCATAACATTCCCTCATTGTGCTGATGAAAGGGACCGGTCTTGACATCTCTGAAGAATAAGGAGCCCTATTATATCCATCAAAGAAATACAGTAGGAAAGTAACAGAACAAACTTGTCCCTCACTTCCTTCTCTGAGTATTATTACTTGGAAGGGAAAGATGCAGAAGGCATTCAGTGCAACAACTTGTGTCTAAAATTGTCAATCAATGCCAGCAACCCAAGGGTTTTGTAAGATAACCCAGAAACTGGGCTGACATCTCCATAGGCAACTCCAGGGCGAACTGCAAGCTGATATTTGGAATGGGAAAAATTAACCTGATACCCAAATAGGATCAGATTGATCCTGCTAGAGATGCTCCTGCCCTACCACAGCGTCATACCCATGTGCAGGTGATATTAACAGCATGAATGGCCTACCTTGTCCAGAAAGATCCACTGTCTTTTTGTGTGCAGTTTTACCATCAAAGAGTTCCATGGTGTATTTGCCTTTGTCCTGAGGAGTTGGCTCATTGATCTGCAGCCAGATCTGCTCCCCGGTGACACCAGTCTTCACTCTGTCTGTAAACCTAATCTGGGTGTCACTGAAAAATACAAAACAATGTCACCCCTTCATTTTTACTGGAATATAAACAGGATTTGTTCCTGTTGTGTCACTCAGAACACCTGCGGTTACTAAATGATATCCAAGGTGCAATAGTATGCCATCATATTTTGAAGCTTTTGAAGCCAATTCATTGCTAAACTGTAGACCAAAGGGACAGACTTGTTATGACAGTCTTCTTCTGTTCAATTTCCAGCTCTCCTCAAAGCTTGCAGACAGGTTATGAACCTGAGTCATAGAAATATTACACAGATTTAAGACCCAGATATCCGATAGTAATACCTCAAATGTTTCTGTGTTCTCTCTAGCACAAGTTTATTTCTGCTTGAGCAAAGCAAAACTACATAGGGCTGTACCTGAAGAAAAACACTTTTGTTACAAATGGGTTTTGCCTAGTTTGAAAGTTTTCTCATGTTCTGCTATGCCTTGGCTTTTACAGTTAAATGTATCTTGACACAAATACATCTCACACGAAAAATACCAATTTTCAGCTTCTTAGCTAAGCAGTTAATTGCTCTGGAAGAGGCAGAAGATATTTGTCAAATAAGCTGCTCATTTTCTTTTTATCTTTCAATTGATAGCTTTGAATATGCTAGAGGGTCAAAGAGCAATTTGATGTGCTTCAAGATGAAATTAGCTTCTAAAAACTAAATAGAGAAAAGAAAAAGACAAGCAAGAGGGATAGAAAAAGAGAGAAAATGAAGGGAGAGAGAAAAAATCCAGGGCAATTCGTATTCACATCTAGTTTTGTAATGCTTGGGACTCCTGGTTTTACCAGATCAAAATGTATGCCAAGAAAGAGGAAGACCTCAAACTGCTACCATATACACAGGAAGTGAAACAGCAAGAACATTAATAATAGATTTAAAATAAACTAAGTTGTTTACTTTTCTGAGTTTTCCAGTACAAGCTGTTTATGCTGAGTGAAAATTCAAAGCTGTCTCATGGACTTGGATACACAACTCCCATTAATTTTATGGGGAGCTGGGTATTCAACTGCTTTGTAAGAGTCTCAGTTCTCCTGTCTGTCCTTGTTAGGCTCTGAGCGCTCACAGGAGGGCCTGTCTGGATTTTACTGCCTCAGGCACGTGTTGAATCAATCTTGCTTTGCCTCCAAAACATGAACCCATGCGTGAAGAGGATGTGCCCGTTTGCCCCAGTTCCTGTGAATTATGGCTCCTAGACAAGCAGGCCTCCAGGCTAGGTATCTCCGAACCAGATGTGCAGGCCTCTAACAGAGCTTGTCACTGCCATAGATCATACTTGTGTTGCCCCTCGAAAGCAGTTCAGAGGAAGATGCAGATCCCATTCGGGAGGTGGGAAGCCCTCTGAAGCAACGCAGCCCTGACAGCAGCACATGGCATGGGACTGTCAGTCTCACATGAAAACAGCAGGAAGGCCCCGTGCCACCAAGACCTAACTCTCCTACTGGTTCTTCATGGGTGAAGTTCACTGAAACTAACTCACATGAGAGAAAGACCCCTGAGAGATGACGAAAAGACAGCTGTGCCCAGTCTGTCTCATATACCCAGGTTCTTTCTGAGTCTATAAAAAACAAACCACACTGATATTTGCAAAGCTTTTGCATACTTACTTGTGCACCCAGCCTACTCTCAGATCCTCCACATAATAGGTGACGAAGGAGTACAGTCTGATACCCTCAGCTGTGCTCTGGATTTTCAGGTCTGTTGCAGATAAAGCTGCAAGAAGACCACATTTTTATGCAGCCATGCAGGCATTCATTGAGTGTCACAATGAGTCATTCATCTCAGAAGAGAATTAAAAGCTTACCAATCCTTCTGCATACTTCATTCATCAGATCTGCAAAAGCTGTGGAAACAAAATCCATAGACTAAACTCAGTGTCTGCATCTCAAGCACAGTCAATTATAGGCCAAGCACCAATTCTGAAATATTCTCCCCAGTAGGGTCCAACAAGAAATGAGACCTACCTTAAAAAGTGTATTAGAAAGCTAAGTAATGCCAAAATGTAGCCTGTTATTCCACAGTTTCCAGACTTTAACCTTGATGAATACTGCTGCAGCTGAACTGAACTATATTCTTTTTTTTTTTAACCCTGTAAATGACCGTATTCAGTAGGAATACTGACCCATCTGCGTACATTGCAATGGATATGATTTTTTCTCACTTGCTTGGAACCTTAACTATAAGAGAAATTTTAAAAACGCAGTGGTCACAAGGAATGGAAAAGCCTCTAAATATAGTAATGACAAAACATTTTAAAAAGTGAGATCTTTTAAAATTATCTAGCTCTGTAATTTCTTTCTATAATTGCAGACTTAAACTACTGGTGAGCCCCTGAGGAAATGTGTTATCATTTTGCTCAGCACCAGTCATCACATTCTCGCAAAATTATACAAGATCCTCATGCAGTGAGGCATATTCAAATGCTACTTGTGCTAAACAATCTCTGCTTTTCTAATGAGATGATCTTATATACAGGAGGAACGAAACCACAGGAAGGAGACATATGCAGTTATCTTTATTGCCTCGATCTTGCTTGCAGGCTGTCAGGTTGCATGGCTTAGAGCATGCAGAAAGGGGCTCTGACCTGTGTCCGTAAGCTTGAGCTCACTGGTGTCCTTTCCTCTGTCATCCTTCAGTATGACTTCGTAAGTGCCAGTGTCTTTCTTAGAAAACTGTAAAAACAGTATTCAGAGCAGTTACAGTAGAAAAATCCAGATTTTGTGGCCTGGCCCGGCCTCATCCCATCCCATCCCAATCCCTGTCCTACAGGAGGTGCCCGATGCCCAGGGCTGGGGCTACCCTGGTGCCCCCTGTGCCCAGCTCCTGGCTGGGGTGGTGGGTCAGGACCTGGCTGGGAGGTCCTGCCCTGATGGCCCCATCATGGCCCCCATCCACCACAGGGCTTCTGCCCTTTTACAGCCAGAGGAACGGAAAGCAAAGAGATTTAGTGGTTAATGCAGGTCACACCCTGTGTCTGCAGCAGAGCTGGGCAGGGACCGCAAATCTCAAGTATGTCTCTTGGGTGACTTTGAGAGGGCAGTCCTCTGGAAGCCCAAGTGACAAGCACTTCCTAAGTGCAAGTCACAACAGAGATGTGGTCTCATTCGGTTGTTAACTGACATGCAAAGGAAGCGACATGCTTATTATCTCTGCTGTCATCATTTCCTGAAAATCTGAGTGAGCAGTTATAGATAGAAATTTATTTTAGCTAAAATATAGACGCCTCATGAGTTTTTCCGTTTTTAAAACCCACTTCCTATTTTGATTGTTCTGTTGAAATAGCAGATCATATCTTTCACTTGAATTCATAACACTGACTTCAGATTAGGGTTAGCAAAGACAGTCACTCACCTCCGATATCAGCAGAGTACACACACCATCTTTAAAGTCATGTTCTTCATCTACCATTATCTCCCTGTCATCTTTGTACCATACAATGTGTGTTTCCTTCTTAATATTAGCCACCTAAAATGGATGAAAACCACATTGCATTTATTCTCACATTGCAATTATAAACAGGCCCAAAATCAGGCAGTCCCCGAGTTCACAAGGATCCGTCATTCCTATTAAGGTCCATTTTCCTGACTGGGTGGATGGATGGATGGGTGGATGGATGGATGGACGGACGGACGGACAGATGGCAGACCTGAAGAAAAATGTTTAAGCTATTTTCCAAAGGGTTTTGTGTGAAAAAAAGCAGCAAGAATGCAGGATGATTTGTTTTACCTCTGCTTGTGATAAGGGGGGGACACAGAGGACTGAACAGCAGCCCTAGCTCACTGCAGAGACGTGACCAGAGAGCTGTCAGGGGATAACAAATTTACGGTCCAGAGGCAGGTGCTCTTTATCCCTTCAGAACAAATGTTACCTTCCTCCTACCCTGCTCCTGTGCCAGTCTCTATCTTAAATGCCTGAACTGGGAAGCTGTACGGGCACATCTAACAAGTCCCTGAATACCAGTGGTGATACACAAGGAGTGTGTTATAAAGAGTTCCCTTCTTGAATGATTTTTTGCAGAGGGCCTCTCTTTCTGTTTCCAGCACAGTAACTGACACATTGCTGTTTGTTCAGATACTGTATTTCTGTAAAGAAAGCAGAGTTTATTAATCATACTGCAGGAGGACAATCTATTTGTTTTTCACCACCATCTTCTCCTTCATCAGTTTTTGAGCTGCTTTTTGCTGGACAGGAAGGAGTTTTGCCCAAGTCTCTGACTATCTACAATCACTCCAGCATGATTAGCCCATGTGTTTTCAGTCTCTTCCACTACTCAATATGCAGTTGGGAATACAAAACCAAAGACTTGTCTTTAGTCCTTTTCCTCCCTCAGCATCTAAGCAGCGGCAGGACAAAGTGCTTCTCTGAACATTGCACTTAGTCTTTTGCTTGCCCCTTACCTTACATTTCAACATCACGTTACAGTCATCGGTAACTTCCCATCCCAGCTTATCCACAAAATGAGGACCTGTTTGAAATTACAGATATTTTTCTTTAAAAAATTACATCAGTGGTATTCATGATACAAAAACAAGGGCAAATGTGTTTTTCTCGACAAGAATAGTTATATTTTAAAGTGTTTATTTTTCCTATTTCTCCTTCAAAAGGCAAGCAACTACACAAAAGAATAAAAACATGTATTTTAGCTTAGCATATATTAATATAAACAAATTCTCATACTTAACAAACTAACACATATGTGATTCTTATGAATGTTCATATTATCACCTTGTTTTCTGTGCCACTCTTTCCTCTGGAATTCTGCTTCATCCTGCAGCTTCTTGAAGACTAGAAATTAAAACCAGCAACATATATGAGGTTAAACAACATGTGTTATTTGTGCAGTACTGTAACAGGCACAGCTCTGTCCCTTGGAGGCCAATAAGAACCCTGTGATATGGTCAAATTTTCTCTCAGCAACTTAATATTGAATATTTCCAAGGGTCAGAAGCTGATTACAGCTAACCCAACTTCCCAAGCTGCTTGCAGCCATCAGGGGTTTAACACATCACTCTGAAGAAGTGTAATCCCCTGTCATGCAACCGCTTTCCACTCCTAGGAGGAAGGCAAACAGGAGCAGCAGCAGAACTGGCAAGCAGTGGCAATGCAAATAGGTACAGATGTGTATTCCTGGCTGAAGAGGCATTTTACAAGGGAAATTTTCATAGAAAAACCGTAGAAAAGCAAGCCGTGATCGCCTGCAATATTTTACATTTCTAAAACCTTTCCCTTTCCTCTGGGCACTTAAAAATTATCAGTTCACACACATGGTCTGTTTTATCTGAGGCAGGGAAGTGCTGTGACATGAATGTTTATTAGAACTACATTGGGAAAACAGTGGAAAGTGAAAATGACAACCAACCCTGATGTAATTTTTTCCAGCCTTCTGCATAGTATAGATTAGCTTACCATCACCAATGAGCACCAGACTGGATTGATTTGTTGCTTTTCCATCTTGCAGCTGGAAAGTGTAAGTCCCTTCATCCTTGTCCTCAAGTTTATCCATAATCATTTCAACAAGGCCAGTCTTCTGGTCCACCTTCATTTTATATTTCTTCAGGAATGGAAAGTAAAGCAACAGTTAACAGATATCAGAATCAGAGACTATTTGGCAAACATTGCTTCATATCTTTAGGTGAGATTCTGTTTTCTTCAGTCGAATTCCCACTATTTCTAGCTCCAGCTCTATACATGTAACCAAATAAATAAGAAATCTGATAAGGACGGAAGCATGTGAACATCCTGTTCAATGGTGAGTGTTGTGTTCTTTTTTATTACTGAGGTTTAGATTTGCATCTCTTCAGAACACTATCATCTCTGAGACAATATTTATATAAATTTTTGTGTAGAATGAATCATCATAGAATATCCCGAGTTGGAAGGGACCAACAAGAATCATCAAGTCCAACTCCTGGGTCCCCAAAGGACCACCCAAAAATCAGACCACACTTATGAGAGCATTGTCCAAACCCCCTTGAACTGGCAGGCTCAGTGCCATGACCACTTCCCTGGGGAGTCTAGAAAAGCTCTATCCCTGCCTTCTAACTGCTATCAGTATTGCAACAAAAGCATGATACATCCTGTCTTCATAAGTAACAAGCTCTGCTACTGGAAACAACCACTTGGGAATTTTCCCTTGGTGTCCTAAATTCCTCCAAACAGAAAAGTGGTGTGTGAAGTGACTACAGGGGCCGTAGATAAGCCACAGATAAAAGACATAGGATGTATCTAGGTGACTGCAGTGACTCCTTGAAGACCACAGGAGCTACTTACCTGTTACTACCTCACTGCAGAAACTCTTATGGTCTTCATTAGTTAACAGACCACGTGGTACTCACAAAGGTGGCAGGAAGTCATTTAGTTCCACTTTATAAACTGCATCCAGTAGAATTCAGCTGGAGCTGAAAACTATGGACAAAATCTTCCTAGTGATGTTTTCGATGACATACGTGTGTGTTAATTCTGACAAAAATGCACTAGCATAGAACACTCATTGGAAGAATATTGGATACGCTAATAGTCATTTGTTATAAACATGCAAACATCTGTAAGCAATGAAAAGCCTTACCTCTCCATTAAAAATCTCCTTATCATTAAATACAAAGTTGGCCTTCGCATTGCCAGACAATTTTTCAGCTTGCAACCAGAACCTCACTTCTCCTTTTTCCAAAATTTCCACTGCCAGCTCAGAGACAAGTGGAACAGCTACAAAGAAGATAGACAAGAATGAAGTATATACATTGCCTGTGCCCCAACAACTATTTTCTTCCGTAAAAGCCACGTCTTTCTTTCAGCTAATGTATGCAAGGTGACTAGCTTATGACAGCTCTTCATATAGTTGGAATACCTCTCCACCCACATGTACACAGGGTGACAGGCAAGATTGAATCATTTGATCTTTCTATCACTAGGTCTGAACAGAGCAGAAATTATGATTTGAGTTGTGCTGGGGCTCTTCCATTGTAATGCAAGGCTAAAGGTAAACTGTAAGCATCTCTGCAGCATGATATGAGCCTGTATAGGGCAGACACATCTTCAATGAGTCGCTTAGCAATGTTATTGTAAGGCAGGGAATTGACTCAGTGGAAAAAAACAATAACAACAAACAAGCACAAAGGCAGATCAGAAAGTCAGCTGGTGGATTGCAGGTTGGGAGACTTTTATAAGTACTTTGATCTTCGCTGAGTGGAAACTTTATCTCCAGAATACACAAAGTATCACAACATACCCCAAATAAATCTCCCCAGTACATTTTGTTTAGGTATGAATAATGGAAATCCCCACATATAGAACAATTCCTTGTGTAAGCAGGGGAAAAAAAAAAATCTGCAAAGAGTACTCTACCATTGCTAACTTTTTTTTTTTTTTAACTTTTCCTTGTTCTTGTTAGTAAAAGTCCTCAGTGTGCCTTCACTTTGACTTCTTGTTAAGAGATTTTAATCAGCAACGTTAAATATAGGCATTTAGACTCTGATATTTGGGCACATTGAGCTTTTTTTTTTTTTTCATTACCATCATTTTAGCTGTCTTAGTGGGTGCTCAAGTTTCCAAAACCTTATACTCCTAGGAGCACGTATGCTATATATGAACTCTGCCCCAACCTCCACTTTCACAGCAATGTAAAGTCTGCATTGCAAGGGTGTAACTGAGGAGAGCATGCAAACACATTGCAAAACACTTGATTATGTGGTGTGGTGATGGGTGTCAACCTACACCTTCTCCCAGACAAATCACAGGACAGGGTTGTTTATTTAACTTCATGTGTGAAAAGCATAGCTGCAGCAGGAGAAGACTGGGGCTGGGGTAGTTTCCTGGCATCTCTCATCTTCCTGTTTTCACCACCCTAAACAACAGGGTGCCTTCTGGAGCAGGACTGCCATTCCACCCTGCTGTCAATCCCAGGTAGTGGCCATGTGTGAGGAAGCCTCCTTGTGTCTTCATTTCATAAGGGTACCTCTTCTGTGCACCTATACTTTTCCACACTTATGTACATTTTGGTGGTACAGAACATATCTTTGGTGAAAATAAAGCTTCTGGGAGGTGAGGCAACAGTCCCAGGGGAAAAAAAAAATACAAAGAATTATGAAAAAGACATGGGCATAACATGGAAGAGAAAAAAAATGGTTTCAAAGGAGTTCTGGAGGGAAAGAGGTACCAAAAGGGACCAGGTTATGAGTGTGCCCCAGCAGTGGAAATGGTACTTGTGAAGCTTCCTTCCCTCCTGCATTGCCTGTGAGAAACAAAAGGAATCTCAGATGCTGCATGGTTTCTCAGAACAAAGCTCCTGAAATGCTACAGGAGTCTCAGAAGCAACAGGATGAGGATGAGAATAGATATCAGCCCGCACTGCTTTTGTTTCACTGTCAGCTCCATGGCAATGTTAAACTCCCAGTTGATTTGCATGTAATTAACTATTAATATCTTAGTCTAAAATGGGAGAGAGGAAAATATCTCAGAAACTGTTCAAGAAGGGGCTGAAAGGATGTAAAAGGTTTGTATTTTGGGAAAAGGCCATTCACTCCACAGTCCAAAGGAATCAGAGAGATTCCTGTAAGAGTATTCCACAAGCAAAAGACTTATTTAAAAAAAAAAAAATCCATTTTACTAAACACCAACTGATGACTTCAGGGATTTTCCAGTCATCAAGCTTACAAGGTTTTAGACCTTATTTGTATAGCATCACAAATTACCATGTGCAACTAGACTAAAGTTAGACAATCTGTGTTTTGTTTTGTTTTTATTGTTTTTGTTGTTGTTTTTGTAGAGTCCACAGGGCCTAGGATGGCCAAAGCAAAAGCAGCTTTCTTCTTGAAACATTACAATACATTCTGCAGTGATTTTTTTTTTGTCTGTTTTTTTCATGAAGTTCATGCACAGCTGGGAGCATACTGATACCCAAAAACATGTTAAAAACCCAACCCCCCAGTCTGTGTGTCCTGAGGAACTTATTTTGTGACATTAGTTATTAACACAGTGTGGAAGAGCACTCAGTGGAGAAGGGTTGGGGCGAGTGGCAGCAATAAGAGGTTTGATGACTGACGCTCGCTGTGAAGACCTGATTAAGAGGAAATGTCTGGGAGGAGCAGGAGTAAAGAAGGGGGTGCTTGGGCTGTCATTAGGCTGTCAAAAGTTGGTACAATATGTTGGGAAGAGCAGAGCTGGTACGGAAAAGGCAGAGAGGGAAATGAGAAAGAGAGATGATGTGGGCAGAAAGACAGGCAATGTCTGCAGCCGAGCTTTGACTGGCCTGGGAGGCAGAACGTGGGCTGAGCTGGCAGAGGTGCCAGCAGCACACGCACAAAGCTGAAGGTATTAAAACCAGGCAAGAACAGTAGAGTCTGGAACAAAGCACTGAGAGATGGTAGTGGCAGGAGATAAGACATGTCTTAGATCTCGACACCTGGTAGTGTAATAGGATTCTTTCTACAATTCAATTATTTTTTTCAATTATTCAAGTCACATTCCACTGAAAATAACAGGGTTGTACTACTGCCAGGATACCATAAAGGTATAAGAGTTCTGTGGACTTGACAAAAATATCCTTCCAAGCAAAAAGAAAGGTGCTCTTGTTATCAAGTATTACAAAAAAAAAAAAAAAAAAAAAGAGGGAGGGGATGAATTTCAGCTGAAAAATTCTATGTGTATATATATATATATATATATATATATGTATGAAATTACAGCTGAATTTACTACAGTTGCTTGTTCTCTTAGCCTTACTTCTAACTTCTGTTAACTTCAGCTGGGGTAAAGTTAGAGGGGCAGAGAATTTTCAAATCAGCTTAGGCATTATGAGTAAGTAAAGAAAGCTGCATGGCAGAAGAAGTAAAGCCATTGGGATACTTATTTTCAATCTAATATAGAGACTTAGTATATGCTTAGACCAGCAGCCTGCAAAAGAAGAGGAAGAACAAGAGCAACACACAAACGTACTGAGAGAGAAAAAAAAAAAAAAAAAGATTTTCAGTTTAAAACCACTTTCACTTGAAATTTCTGTAGCAGTTTCAAAATCTGATGCTGGCAGGAGCTTTGTGATACATACCCGTGCGCATGCAAATCTCTCCCCTACAGACATGCTTGATTCACTTACTTGGGAATTTGTGTTCATGGCTCAGAGCAAGCAGCCGTTTCATTTCTGCAAAAGACATGAAACAAGATAGGCGTGCATACCTTATGGATATGAGAGACACAGCAGCAGGAAAAAACAGAAGTGGAAGCAAAACAGGCATGCTTAATAGACATTGTGTATTTACCTTCTTCATCAATTGTGTAGCTTGATGAAACTCCATCAGTGTCTGTAACAATACAAGAGTAAATTCCCAAGTCATCTTCTCCAAGATCCTTAAAGGTTGCTTTTGACCTTTAGAAAAAATGAAACATTTTGATTAAAAGGTGAGATCAGTCTGAACCAAGCTCCTTCTTATAACACCAGATAAAAATAATTCTTTTTTCAGCTTTTGCTATGACTAAAAGGCAAATACAGGTGTCCTGACCAATATTAACCAGGGTGAGCCCTGTCACGTGTGGTACAAGTGGAGACGGCACAGCCAGTACAACAGGACTAAGAGGATTCAGTTACTAGAGCAAAGAATGAAGGGAGATCCAGGAGCATCCATGAGACCACAAGAGTAAAAGTTGACCAATTGCCTGTGCTGCACAACCTCTGTACAACCTGCACAACCTCTCCAGGAAGCTGCCTAAGCTCTCAGGTAGTGCCAACAGTACTGGAGCTAGCCAAAACTAGCTCACACATGCTTAAATGCATTTGTCAGGTCTTCAAAGAGTGTGAAAGGATACTGTAAGTGCAGGTTGATTCAATTTTCATATGCAATACCAAGAGTGGTATGAGCCACCCTTTCTTCCCATATGGTTTCTATAGCTGTAAGAGCACATAGCTTCATAGGCTCCACCTGTGCATTTGTTATTTCTTCCTTTCTGAAAAATGCCTGAAGAAACATATTAGGCTCCTGGAGCATTGTGGAAGTTAACAGATCAGGCTATGGTGACATGATCAAACCAGAGGCCTTCTCAGAAGATTGTGACAGTGTTACATGGTAAAAGCATTTTGCAAGCAGACAATTTTAGCTTTTGGACTTTTACAATGACAGCAACAGGAATAATAATCACCTGTCCTGATTGGCAGGTTATAAGAGGACAGAGCACCAATTTTCTCACCCTATGCCTGAATGTAACTTAATTGCTTAATCAGGAGGCCTGACTCATCCTGTGCAAACTACAATTTCCCAATGGTCTGCACAGGGACTTGTTGGCAAACAAAATACTCATCCAGAGCCTTTTGGTAACAAAGGCAGATGCAATTCTTACTGAGATCATACATCTGGAAAGGATCAATTTCTGTGGCCAGTCTAGGTTTATCAAACATGGGATGACTGTTACTGCTGAGGGCTCTTACTTTCCGCCTTTGGTATCAATGGCCAGTCGAGAGTCATCCTCAATTGGTTCATAATTCTTGGACCAAACAAACTTAGAGTTTGGAGACATCTGATCACATTCAAAGTTCAAGGAAATTACTCCATTGTCATCCACATCGACCACCACTTCCTTAGTTCCTGAAAGATCAGAACAAGACAATCCCACTTTCTTAGAGATACCAGCAAACAAATGTATATAGGTATGATTCATAGTGTGGATTAAGAAGATCCTTGCCATTTTCTCAAGTGGCACATAAATCACTGAAAACATTGGCATCCTCAGTCCTTGATTCATGATTAGAATTGTCATTCTAGGCCGTAAAATTAAGGAACAGATTAAAGAGCATCATAAATCAATTGATTTATGTGAACATGCCTAAGCACACATGAGATTTATGATATTTGCTCTGGAAAAACCTAAGGGGGTGGGGGGAGAAGAGGGAGAGGAAGCAAGTCCCTAAATCCACTAAATGCTTGAAATATTAAATAGCAATATTTTTCCAGCTTAGGGGTAGTCAGTGCTTTCATTATGTAGTATGAATTTCTCATTCCCTAGTCAAATAAGAGCTCTGAAGGGAATACTGGGTACAAATGCAGATGTTTCAAAAGGTGCAGGAGGCAAAAGAGGAAACAACCGAGCCGCCCAAGCAGTGCTCATTTGTGCAACCGAGGCACATTTTCAGGGACTCTGGGTTCACTCCAGGAGGTTGGTTTAATTGCTATGCTTGGCATCTGGCCCTGCCACCGTCTGCAGCATTAATCCTGGGCCCACAAAGGGAGTGAATATTTGCAATTAGCGGCTAAGTCGCCCACCCTGTTTTGCCAGTACCTCCTTGAGCTGAATAAGGTGACCCAATTTGTCCTTACAGGGCCCTGAGAGTGAGGCCCAGGTCAGGAACCTAAATGTACCTCCTGCCTGCTCCCTTGCGCACTGGTGAAGCCGAGGGAATTTCATCTGGGCATCTCGTCATCTGTGGCGTTAAATTTCATTTCAACAGCTTGTCTGAGAATACCACAGAGAGCTGAGATGTGCTGGAGGACATCCAGCTTCCTCCTCTGAACAGCTCCGAGCTTGGTCTTACATCTGAATGGGGCACTCGTGGTGTATTACTCAGTCTAAGGCAATTTCAGGCTGCCCAGAATGCTAATGACATGCTTTCTCCACAACATATTGTATCTTTAAGACAAGAGCCCTATTCCTGACATTGAAATTAAGAGCTTTGTTTTCATCATAATTCTTAATGAGCCTCAAGTATGCAAGGAGATTTCTGTGTTTCGTCACCCTAGTATTATATATGTGTCCTGTTCCAGCACTGTGAGTAGCTCCTGTAATGACAATAGGTGTACGTGCAGCCTTCTTATTCTTTATAATTTGCCATAACTGTTTAATGAAAGATTAGATTAATATTCCTGTTTTGGTCCTATTATTTACTAGCCCTCACAGGAATGAAGCACAATGAGTACCAACAGGTGATTTGGTCTACAAGTATTTTTCTAGGCAGATGCACATTTTTCAAGAATGTTATAATGTAATTTATTATATGCAAATTCATCACTTTATATTTCATTAGTATTTAGTTTCCTGTAGATCATTAGCACGTGAATCTTTGGATGGCAGCTTATGCAATGTGCAAAGAATCACAGCCAGAAGTTCCCTACGGAGAACAACATCTGTTATATTTGTTTTAAAACACTGACATTATGATAACAATGCATAGCATGTATCTCCAGAAGTGATGATGGTTTTTACTTCTAATATTTATGTGGAAGTAAGACAAAAAAACATTTTTAAATTACTGAGCAGAGGGCTCCACCTGTCCTACAATGTGAAACTGAAGAGGTTGCCATAACAGTAGCAGTCTAATTTGCCTTCTCTAGATAGCTTGGTGGTTTCTACAGGGCATCCAAAGTCACTCATAAAGTTATCATAAGAAATAAAATACTTAGATGTCAGAACAAATACTGATTATCTCCAGGGTTTCACTGCACTGAAAGGAAAGAGATAACATTAAGATAAAGCAGACAGCTTCAAAACTCTAGAGTTACTGGCATCATCTTGTCTACAAAAAAAAAAAAAAAAAAAAAAATTTGAATGGGACATTTTTTCATTAATTTCTGAGATGCGGCCTTAAAACTTTCAAAACACACTGCCCAAAGCCTCTCTTCTCAAGATGGGCATTGGCTATTGGGTAGCTGAAGGGATTTTGATGGATAAATGGGTGTGTGATTAAAGTGAAACGGTTGATGCAGGCTGTGGCAGCCATAGGGTTAAATTTTGAGGTCTGCTGTGGCTTCAGTCGTAGCAGCATCTAAGGTAGTGTAAGAAAAGCAGATAACTTATTTTACACCATCTTAGTGTGTTCCTGATTCTGTTGTGAGAGTGGCCTCACAAGGTGAGCCTCGCAGATGTAACTGAGAGCAGGTTGCTCTGGCAGAAACAACCCTCAAGTGCATGGTCTTATAGCCAAGGATTCACAAAAATGTACAGGAACCCTCCTGTAAAAAGGCTCCTTTCACAAAATCCCTCAGTAAAGCTCTTCAGGTGAGGGTGAAGGTCAGACCCCATAGTCTGACCCCCAGGGCAGATAATATTCCTGTGCCAAGCCCTCCTGAAGCGCCTGATGCAGGATCAGAAGCTAATTTCACTTTGCACCAAAGTGCACAAGGACTAAGGGCAAACCTGGGAAGTAATAGGGAAGAGCTGCAGTCTGCTCTTGGACTTCCCCTGCCTCCTGTGAGATCCATACACACCAAAGTGATTCTGCCTGAAGACAAAGTTACAGCTCAAAACTAGCCTGGATTTTTATTTATTTATTTATTTTAATGTGTATGGGCTTTTCATTTAGTTTTAAGAGATAACAGTAAAAATTGAATATGGTTTTCAAACAGAAGGTGGATGCAAACTATTGCAACATTATATTAACATATGTTACCGACTAAATAAAACTGCTACCACTCATATTAAAACAAATATTTTCATTCAGGATGTTATGTACTTACATTCTTTGGTTGGACAGCTCAGTCTCCTGGTGATTTTAGACATTTGCCAAAAGCAACATTCCAGCCACATTCCAGCAGGAATTGTCTACAGAGACCTTACAATATTTTGTCTCCATCTAAGATGTTAATAAAAGCAGCATTCATTGGGCAACACCAAATGATTTGTGGCAGTTTTTTTAAATGGTGTGATTGTTCTTGAGATTTGTGAGGTTTGAGTGAGAAAGCTGAAAGCCTACCCAAGTGACTGCTTTCTGAAATGTTTTTTTAATAAGCCTTTTGTTCCTTCCTAACACTTTTAAGAAGCTTAGTTTGGTGAATACTGTATCTGCAGACCTCAGCTCAAAATATGGGTCAACCAGATTTGTATAAGTAAATGTATAAAGAATGTCAAAATTGCTGTGCTTTTTTTTTTTTTTTTCTTTTTCTTTTTTTTTTCCAGATTATCATCTTTGCAAGAGTTTACTTTCTTGTATTTTTGGAATTCTAATGGCATGACCAATCCTTTACTTAGTACACTTGAAGGTTATTATCATAACAAGTTTTTATCAAAAATCTGACAGATATTAACCTTGAAGGAAAATATATTAATAAAACCAAAATTTTAATACTAATATTGGCTTGATTTTTGTTTTAAGAGTGGTTGTTGTTGCAGTATCTAAGCTGTTTTCAAGAACAAGCTCCTTAGCCTTGCCTTGCTCCACTTGCAGGTGATGGAAATAAGCCTAGTGCTTCAGTGGTTTGTAGATCTAAAATTAGGGTTACTGTTTTTTTGAAAGAGAAAAGAAGATGCAACAGCTGTGAGAGATGAAGTCAAGGGATGTATGGCAGATGAGCAGAGGGACTAACAATCCTGCATGTCCTGTTATTTCAGATATTGCTGTCAATATGGTAAGAGTTACCCTGTGGTGCCCTCTTTCATCTCATCCATTACAGCAGAGCACCACAGAGTTACCAGACTCCAGATTTTGCCGTTATTCCTCCCAAAGATCCTTACGGCCTCTACTTCCCAAGCCTCCAGTCCTTAGGGCTCCCAGCTCCATAATCCTCCTGCTTCAATCTGTGACCATTTTAAGGCTGCTGATCTTCTCATCAGAGAGCAATCCACATCTCCACTACAACCACACCTGCCTCCTAGTCTAGCCCAAACCTATTCTCAGCTAAGTGTTCTTAATCCTTTCACAGCTCATGCCTTGCTCTCATGCCTCAAGCCCTTTTTGCCCACATGGTGTATCCTCTTTAGTCTCCATACCACAATCTTGCCCCCTCTCAACCTGCCATCCACTACTTCCAGCCCCTTCTTCCCACCCCAGCTTCACTAAGTCTCTCCAGTTTCCCCATTCCAAGTTTTCCAGTTCTTTTATACCCCCAGATTCAAACCTCCTTTTTCAGGCTTTATTGACTCACTGGGAGTCCAACACGACAGCCAGGGCTCAGGTATAGGCCTGCCCAGATCATCACCTCCTTGGCTTGTGCCAGCCGTCAGTGTCCCTGCACACCCCTTACTCCTTTCCTGTGCCCTTAGGTCTCTGAGAAACCTTCCCAGGTGGGATGAGGCATGGGAATCTCCCAGCAGAGGAAAGGAACTTGTCTGAGGAAAAATAGGGGTATGGTGGGTCCAGCCCCTCCACTTCTAACACAGTCTATGGATGAGTAGGCCAGAGAGCTTTAAAATTAGCTTTCTCTAGGGTTTTGTTTATTTTTAGTTTTGTATCTGAAGTTCCATCTCTTATGAGGAGACAAAAATCTGTTACTCGGTAACCTTCTGACCACAAACAAGGACAAAGAAAGGAAGGCTCTCAGAGACACATACCCATGCTTCTGTTTCCTCTTAGGGAATGGTGACAAAAAGCTGGTCACCCAAGTCACCCATGATACCTATCTATTGTAATAAAGTTCAGGGGGTTTCTGAAGTTCCAGGTACAGAGATTCTGTCTCTGTACCAGTTCCTGTTTTTCTTCTGGCATTATAGATGTGCTCGTGCCAGGTATCAAGGATAACTCCAGTGAACAGTTGCACTTGAATTCATCCTGAAGATGATCTCCAAAATGGCTTGACTAAATTTTTAAAACCTTTACTTTAAATGCCAAGGGAAAATAGTAATTTCTTTTACCCTTTCCTCAGGCACATTGCATAAATTACAGAAAAGAGAGAGATAAATAACTGGTTTATGATAGGAAGGGCAAAACCTACACCTGCACAATTTTTCGGTTGGGCTGATTTTAGTGCATCTTTTTTTTTTGCTACATACAAGTATTACAACTTTATTGTATTTCTATATTCCTGAACAGGTAGTTATGGTAAGGAAATCTGTTCTGACCTTAAAATACATCTGAAAAACAAAAAAGTAAGTTATGACCCTCAACTTGTTTCCTGCGTAGTAAAAATGTTTGACTTGAGGGGGGTCAGATTGTTTGCATACAGCCTGTGTGCAAACATACCACAAACAGGAACCTCTTTAAACAAAACAAAAAAGAGGAAGCATTTCTAACAAACCTGGTCGTGTCTCAGCTACAACAGGATCAGTGGTATTCGATGGTTTCCCAACCCCGGCCTGGTTTGTCGCCCGCACACGGAACACATAGCTCACACCTTCTGTTAGGCCACCTATCTGCAGGAAGCAAACAATACGTGCATGATTTATTACAAAATACTGATTTCCATTTCACATTTCTTACAGTTCTAGTCTTGATGCTTGACGATTATATTTCCTTTCTTTTTTGTTTTGCTCCTTTTCTAGTTGACAGATATTTCTTCCTCATTTTTTTTTCTCAGTTTGAGTGACATGACTAATCTGTTTGTTTTGCTCTTTCCTTGTATGCATAGCTAACATTTTAGCCAGTGTCATAACTGTCATTGATTTATTTATAAAAGGAGCATTGTTGTATTATTATTGGAACAGGATGTTTTTAACTCATATCCGTTGACCTCTGGAACAGGACAGTCTTACTGCAGGTAAATTCTGGCTCTTAAAAACAAAATTATCAGGGCAAAATATCCCAGTCACACCCATCTAGAACGAGAAAGGCACTTAACCCTATGCTTCTACGCCTTGTAGTGACTTGAGCAATCTTAATAATATTCTAACACGTGCAAATGCTCCTTTAAAACAGGTAATATTTCCCAAATGTTCTGAAAAGCACAAAAGTAGTGAAGCCACTTCAGATATATCTCTGGAATTGAGGTACAGCTGATCACTTATTTAAAAGTCATTCCTCAAAATGGTATAGTGGAAAAAGCTTGGGCTTTACTTGCCATGAAATGTGTAGAGAGGGTACTTTGTGTTGGAAAAAATCACCTACCACATTATCACAAAATCTGTTTTCACATCATCTGTTCTGTGTAGTGATGCCTACCTTACCCTTTAGGCAAGCAAATGCTAGGGAAGTCTCCTGTGTTATAAGAATGATAAGTAGTTTTAGGACTGTTTCCTTTTGCTTTTAGGCTTCTCATACCATATCCTCTTGCAAGTCACTGCCATGTATGACTACACATTAATTATACATGCGTATCCTAGTGTTTCATTAAATGGAACCATGAAAGATGATACTATCTATGAATGAATTCTTCAAAATTCTTCATGTTATACTTGTATTTGAATCTTAAACTCTTTTACCTTCAAGAATTTCTTTTGAAGTGGCTTCTCATTGACACTTCTCCAATGTTCCTCCTTTGCTTCAGTTTCCTTCATGTCAATGTAATAACCAGCTATAGGACTACGACCAGTATAAACTGGCTCTTTCCACAATAAAACCAAAGAATCCTTCCTGACTTCTGTATATGTGACATCATGAGGTGGCCCTGAAAGGTAAGAGTGAAAATTGGAGGTGTGGTATCAAAAGAAAGCCCAAAGGGACTAATGCATAAATCTTCAAAAAACAAAACCAGACACCACATTGCACTCCCAGACCTGACACAACAGGTGCAGTTCCATTGTCAGATCTAGACCAGATATGAATGACCTATACCTAATAAAAAGACTAGCTCCAAAAACAATCCAAATTTTTGAGATTCGGTATCTTGATCAAATATCCATGAACAAACAAAAATGACAAATAATCTCCAAACTCGGGGAAATAAGTTAATTATTAAGCTGACATGCTGCTTCAAGGACTGTTCTAAAGTCCACTGATATCAATGGAGATTGTTTTCATTAATTTCAATGGGTGTTAAAAGGTTAGAGATCTGGCCTTGAGGCGATATGTTTACACACAGGCTACAGGACTTCATTCTTCTTTGCCTTGTCCCTTAGACAGGTGCTTATGTCTACCATTTAAACCAGGAAGCACAGTGGAAGACACAGTAGAGAAACCAAACAGGAAAGATAAAGAAAATACAAGCTGCTTGTAAATTGTTACTTGTTACATGGGGATTGCTTAATGCATCAGTGCATCAAAACAAAGTGATGGAGATTAAGGCCTGGGTATGAACTTCAGAGCCCATTGGCTCCCCTGGAACTGAGGACATTGACAATTTAGTTTAGTTGTCCAAGAGCACCTTGTGGTCAGCAGTAACCTCAGCATCCCACTCAGGATCCTACCAGGTACAGCAATGGTCCATTCTTCACATTTGAAGGGCTGGCTGGGTAGGGAGGGTGTCCCGACCCCAGCCAGGTTTGCTGCAGCCACCTGGAACTGGTACACCATGTTTTCCTTCAGGTTTTGTATCTGCAGAACCAATAAAATGGTACTTATTAACTTTGGGTTAAGGTTTTAGGAGAAAGTCACAATGACAATTATTCAGTGCACGAGCATGCTTTTAAGTGCCCAAAGAGATGAAAGCTTTATTGACATCATACATTAAGGGGATAACTCTCCTGCCTTTCCTTTTTCAGTGGTAGAGCATACATGAGTGTTCTTAGCATGCTCAAACTCTAAAACCCTGTTCCTATTGAAGACATTTTGGTTGTCAGGGAGGGAGCAGGGTACTGCTCAACAGGTATACTGATATGTCTCGTGATACAGAGCAAGTTCACTTCAGGCAAGAGTTGTCCTTGCAGCAGGGTGAAACCCAGTCCCGGCATTACTTTACAATTGTAAAGCAGCTCAGCTAGGTTGTAGCTAGCAATGTACCTCTAAACTGGGTCAAAAACTAATCACAAAAGCCAACTAGTTCCACCACCACTAAGCACTGGGGTAGGTCCACCAAGCCCACTAGGAATGCCAGTTGTTGTGAGGGCCTGACTAACAAAAATTTAGGCTATGTCCAGAGGAATGAATTCACAGATGAATTCTGTGCCAGAATAACAGATAAGTTTGCAAATAATTTTGCTGAGAAGTTTAACAAAATTAATTAAATTTTATCATCCATATGCTTCTCTATTCTTTACTGAATTACTTATTAAACAAGAGGATTAATGCAATAAGGTTAACAATGTGGACATCGCACTAAACGTATACATAAAACTTCTGTGAACAGACAATTTTTATCACCTTGAACAAACACTAACAAGAAAGTTAGTAGAATGATAAGAGTATTTCACTGCACTATGGAATTTCTGTAGTACAAGAAGCTACAGTTTCCGTAACACATTAACTATCCTACATAAAACCACTGCTTTAATACCATCTGTTAGTTTTCTGAGGTCACCATTACTAGTGTAATAATGTCCATTATTTGTGTAACACCTTTCAAGCAAAGACTCTTAAAAACCCTAAAGGAAATAAAACAAATAATTTAATGTGATTCTTAATATACTTAAGGTATGTTTGCATGAGAAGACACAACAGAAACATGTGCCATGGATGTAAAAGCCTCTGAACAGCAATCTGCGCACTGAATCATAATTCATCTTAATCTTTAAGATGTCTTTTGGAAATATTGTTTGCACCCCCAGCAAGAGCAGAAGTTGACCTCTTACCCTGTATGCCCTCTCACTGATGGCCTTAATGTTGGCCTCCATCCATTTCCCAGGGACTCCACCAATCACTTCACGATAGTTCACGTAGTAGCCGGTAATTTCAGTTCCCCCGGTGACTTTGGGTTGTTTCCATCCTAGTGCCATCGAGTCACGAACACTCTCAAGTACCGTGATGTCATAAGGTGGAGATGGAGCAGCTGTTTTAACATGAACGACACATAAGTAGGAAGTAATGTTTCAATAGGCGGACAGGTGTTTGGTTACCATATTCAGGTGGCCCCCATCGTGCATTTCCAGGTTAGGAGAAAATTTGCTTAGCTGGGGGGAGGGGGCTTCACTGGAATGAGAAATGCAGAATAAAAGCTTCCATAAACCAAATGTAAACATCCAAACTGCATAGGAATTAATTTTCAAAATCATTTGTTTTTTGAGAAGCAAGCTGAGACATAGTGAAAGAATGTGTTGCAATTGCAGCTCTGATGTAAGTGATGAGGAATTGCTTTAAAACCGTGAAAAATGAGGAACTAAAACTAACATTACAAGAAAAGTTAAAAGTTGGAGATGCAATGATTTGTTTTCTTTTGCTGAAAGTGAACCTTTTTTTCACACACATAATATTTATTGTAGCTCATTTGTTTAATAGGCTCACATTCTTCCCTTCACAGAATGTAGCTTATCTGTGTTTTATTTTTATTATTAAATTTACACACTGTGCAAATTTTATCATTGCACCCTTCACATCATCTTACCTTAATGGAAGGAAGCATGATCACAGGCACTGTAGACTGACCAGAAATGAAACATGTCTGTTACTGGAACTTACTTTAGAAAATTTGCAGCATTATCCTCTTTTTTTTTTATAAATACTTTTCAAAAAGACAGAAATCATTAACTTCATCCCAATCCATTTTCTTATAATGCTTTCTCTATATCTATTGGGGTAATATTTGCCCACACTCAGTATATCATGTACCAGTTAAGAGCACTGTTTGTGACCTTCAAGTTCTAATTTTGATGGAAATCCTTCATCATATATATTTCCCTTTGTCTTTGGAGTTTTATCATGGAGTCAGCTAGCCCCAGGTGCCTGTAGTTTGTTGGCTACAAGCTTTTTGGATCTCACTTCATAAATCTCCCATGGCATGGGAGGTGAACTAAATTAGTTCGCTGGCCAGGTACCAGGACTTAAATGAAATTCAAGCTCCGTATTTCTTAGGCATGATGGGTGTTTAAGCGTTGACAACATAAAATGTGATTTTGTCCATGTGTCTTCGACTTAATAGGTATCCCTCATTATGTATTATCATCAGTCAGAGATAGAACACAACATTCATTAGCACTGCATCTCAGAGGATAAGCTGTAGCTTAGGCATAAATTCACAAAGGATCTTCATGTATCTTAACACAACATAGATTTTCATGCTTACCATCATAACCAGATTTTGTTTCCTTCACACACACATAACCAAGAGACTAGGTAAGAAGACTCCTAACAGAGAACAAATTACGGATGTGATATGGAAGTCATACAGTATTGGATACATTAATATGTACTCAGATGAGCTATTAAATTAGTAAATGGGTGTATATGTTTCATTTTCAATAGCTCCTAAGTTTGCGAAGCGGTCTCTGATAACATCACATGCATAATGACCTTAACAGAGAGTCAAGCACATAATTAATAGGTCTGCTGGAAGATGCATCACTGGAGAGAACGTTCACTTGCAGCGTGGATGAGCACAGGTTGCACCCATCCAAAGTGGATGAACCAGAGCTGTGAAAGCTATTTATTTATTAACTCTCACCTACATCTTTCTTCTTTGTCACTTTTTCCAGTGTCAAAGGATCCCCGGGTTGAGACTTACTTGCCTGCTCAGCAGCAACTTTTTGTGGAGCAGATGTGACAGCGTCCTTAACCATTTCTCTCATGTTATTGCCTCCTGTACTGCCCAGTTTGTCAGAGCTACTGGGTAGCGGGTCTCTATTAAATTTAGCATTGCATTTTAGCAAAGCATCTGTGTCAAATATAGGCTGGGAGGACTCATGCATGCCTTCCCAGCTGGTAGTGCAGTCTGTTAGTCCGCCAGCTTTACCACTCAGTTCAGGACACACACCATGAAGCAGTCCTCCCCCTATAATCACCAGAAAACAGCAAAGACATTTTTAATTAGAGTACATTATTTTTTCTTCATTTACTCAACAGAGTGAAGAAATGCAAACAGTGAACAATACAGCCAAAATATGACAAATCACAGTTTTTATGGACAAAAAGCTAAGCACAGACTCACAGAAATTTGAAATGCATAGAATACCTCTCAACCTCCTCACAAATTATGTTCTTTTAATAATGTCTAATTTTCAGAGCAGAAGAAAAATGAAACGTTAATGGTAATCTTCACTTGCTATAATTATTTTAGTATTAGATCTTCCAACTCATATTTTGATCCTTTTAACATGATCTCACAAAATTGCCTGAGGCCACATCTCTCTGCTCTATGACTGAGAGTTATGCAATTTCAATAAAAATGAGAGTGAGTGTGTTGCAGACACACAATTTGTTCTAGTACAATGATCTCATTAATCCTTATGGATTAGTTCAGGCAGTGGCAAACAGAAATAATTCATTAACAAAGGGAGAACACACAGGGTTATAGAAGGCTTGCAAAAAGCATACTACATTTATTAGGTTTAGGTGTGGAAGCATGTTTCTTAGGAGCTGCCTGTATATGAGATGGTGTGCATTAAAGGTGATAAATACCACATTAGAGGGTCCAAACAACATTCCTTTTTCCAGGATGGCTATGAAGTGAACTTAGTAGTGCTCTCCTACAATGGTTCACAAGAAACAGCTGGAGAAGGCTGAATGGTGAAGGTGAATTGTCTACAAGAGTGCAGTAACAGTGAAAGTGTGACTGTGAGGCAATAGATAGACTCTATAGAGAAAGCATTATTTGTGGACAGCAATGTAAACCAAAACAATCAATTACAAATAAAGAACATCTTTATTTTAAGATATATATTATATATATATATATATTTACCATTGAACAAAGTAATGGGAAATAACTTACCAATCGCTGCTTGCACCTCTATAGGCTCTGAATCCTGGGAAAATTCGCTGAGTCCAGCTGCATTAACAGCTCTGACCCTGAAAATGTACTTCTCGCCATTGGTGAGCCCATGGCAAATGAATCTAAAAACAAACCAATGAAGGAATATTATGAAGAAAATAATATAAAAAAAATAATGAGAAGGGGGAAGCATTTCTTCTGTAAAATTTATTCTGCTTTCTGAAAACTGAGGATAAAACATGAACCCAGAGACTTCTGTGAAGGTCAGAGAATGCAGAATGTATCTAAGCACCTCATTCACGCAAATAAGATAGTGTCTGAATTCATGTATCTTTAGATATATCCCTTTTTACCAATACTCTTGCCCACCTAAGACTATACAAGTTCTTCTGTTACCAAAGGGCCTACCTATCTTACCTATCTTACCTTTGATGATGTATAAAATCCATACTTCTTAATGGAAACAATGCAAAAATCTTCAGAGACAAGATTTAGTTTATATTTGCATGTGGGATACCTTCATGACATATGCAAAAGACAGCTGTATCACAAGTTCCCATCGTTTACTTCCAATCAGAAGTGAAAAATTTTAGCATTCACAGATATTATAGGGCATTGTATAAGAGCTAAAAAAAGTACCCAAATTTTTATTCAATTTTTTTGGTTCTATAATCTAAGTCAAACTCTTATATTAGAATAGTTTTTCTGCTTTATTTATTGAAAAAATGCATTTTTTCCTCTGGCACCCACCCTGAAAAAAAAAAAAAAATCCCAACACAGAAAATGTTTAATTTGGAAAAAAATGTGTTTTGGAAGTTTCAATATTTTACTCCAAAAATACATTTATTTTTCCACGTGTATTTTAAATGTATTTTACTTCACATTCCTTTTATTTTGCCCTACTTCATAATTTTATGTTCTGCATTTACAATGCTGACATCATGCTATGATGTCCAGCAGCAAAAAAAAAGTGTGGAAAACATAAAATATATTCAAAAAATCAAAATTTTACTATGGGGCGACAAATAAAACCTGAATCAAAATTTTCAGAATAGAATTTTCACTACCCATTCTACTAGACTTTTCCGAAGCATTTGCTTTCACTTGGATTTGTGAAGAAAACAATTCAAAACATCAAAATATACTGTGGCAAACAATCTATGAGCCACATTTAATGCTTTGAAATTGACTCAGCCAGAAAACCAACAGTTAACAGACAGCCTGCGCCTGTCTGTATCATAAATTATATTGTGTAGAATATAAATGCAGTGGTAGAAATTTAAACAGTGCAGTTACATAGCAAGATACTGTAATTCAAAACAATATTTTTATTTCTAAGGTGAATAAAGATCACATTTTATATTCTGAAATAATATAATAATATTATTCTGAAATAATATAATAATAATTTTATATTCTGAAATAAGCAAGTAGCACAAAACTTCACCAACACTTGCATGAAACACTATGTGAAAGCACATAATATTCATCGAATCATAGAATTGTTTAGGTTGGAGAAGACCTCTAAGATCTTACTATCACACACGGCTTAAGAGTGTTCATTAATATCTTGATAATTGCAAGTGAAAGAGTAGTTAGAAAGTAATATTGTTAGCATGATATAATCCACATTTCCTCCTGACATGCTAGATATACAGTCCTATAAATGTTTACAGCAGTCTTCCAAATGAAGGACTTTTCTTCCAAACATTATGCAGTTTAGTTTTCCATATTTGTATGTTCCCTCATTCCTCACTGTACTGTTTTTCATCAAGCCGATAGGTTGTACAATAGTTAGAACTAGTGAGCTGTTTCTCTTGGTGGCTGGGAATCACATAAACACGATCAATCAATCAATCAAAACCAAGCAAACAAACAAAAACTGGTGACCACAATTTCCATGCTTTCAAATCCATTACCTCGTGCCTTTCACTGGGTTGTTGTTGCATGGTTCCCAATGACCAGACCCAACCACACTTGACTCAATGTAGTACCCAACCAGCTCCTTGGCATCTGGGGGTTCGGTCCAAGTGACAACAACGGATGTGTCTGTATTCCTAGTTGGCATAATACGGCCAGGAGGTTTGGGGATATCTTTGAGAGAGAAACAGAAATAAATTAATGACCAGCCAGTCAAATTTAGCAAATAAAAAATAAGGGTGACATCCTATTCTTGATAGTATTGACACAACTAATGCTCTTTTAACCCCTCTAAAATCCACAGAGATCTCAAACAAGTAATTTTGTACGACATGACAGGATCAGTCAGTTCAAGATTTTGGTGATGATATTCCTCATGTCTCCATTGCATACAGTTTGGGGCATTTCCTTCAGATTATATTTAGGTTATTTCTCTGTGCTGAACATCTGCACCAGAAATGTCATGTGGAGCTTTCTAAAGAGGAAAAAGTGTCAGGTGCACTTTGAAGGATTCTGTACAGGCCACAGGAGTCAGAAACCAATGCCCCTATTAAATAGCAAAATGCATCTAAGTGGTTTCTGAAGAGAGCTGTTTTACTCTTCTTCTTAAGGAATTGTAGTTCACGTGTGTCAAACTGTTCTGCGAGCTGAACCAGTATGGAGTAAACAGAGATGAGCAGTATGAAGCAAACAGAGATGACCTGAGACTCAAATCTGCATTGCTGTTCTGAAAAAAAAAAAGGTTGGTATAGACAAAGCTACTATGTAGCCAGTAGACACTCTACTAAGGCTTTACTGTGGTGAACATCTGGGATTTTCTTCCAGTAGAAATAGTTTCTGCATCCACAGAAGTATTAAATTCTTCACTTTTGTTTGATTTGGCAAACAAGGAAGGTTAAACTCTGCTAATGTCTGGGCTTATTTTCAATAAAGACTCTAAGTAAAACAGAACTGTTTTGTCCTTTCTTAAGTTTTCATTTTCTTCCATTGTTTGAATCTTTACAGTTCTTGGCATTATTATTTGCAGCTTAATTCCCTTGGTTTCTATCTGCCATTTGACTATATGTTAGAGGTTCAAAGACACAATCCAAAATTATCTTAACTAAAGGGAATATATCACTGACTACTCTTCATATTTGATTTAGCAGCTGGACAGCTATCTTCAAGCAAAACAATTACATCATAAACTGAAAAGGAATCATGAAGGTAACTTAATACTTATGACGACACACTTACCAAGTTTGTCATCTACCACAGTGGCTTCAGTTGCTTCTGAAGGCTCACCAATTCCTGCTGAATTGCAACAGCGAACCCGGAAGCAGTAGGATTTGCCTTCAGCCAAATCAAAAACTGCAAAGCGAGGAGACTTCACAGGGATTTCAGTGTTCACCCTTTGCCATTCCTCGGTGCCAGCAACGCACTGCAAACACAGAAACAACTTTTGAAACAGAACTCTTTGAACAATGAGAATCTAACCTGACAAGGCTTTCTACATGGACCATCAAATGCACATCTAACATGGAAAACAAGGAGTCATGTTCCTGGTTGTGGCCATTCCACAGAATAAGGTGTATTTCAAAGCTTATGAATCTGTCCACCTACTCCAGAAGTCACACATACAAGCTTACTGCTTGTAATATATCAAAGCTAAACACTTCTCCACAGCAAGGAAGTGATGTTGCTATCAACTGTATTCAGTTCCATACCTAAACCTATAGACCACCCTCAAAAGAAGTTCTGTAGTCATTCAACATCATCCAGAGAACAAAACTCTAATATTACCACATTGCTTCTAGATGCCATTATGCCACTCCTGAGGATGTTTTTGGGTGGCTTCCAGAATTAATCAGAATTAATTAATCTGACTTCCATTTCCCAGAGGAGAAAATACGAAATAAAAGCATGTGCATTTTATTTGTGAATTGTTTTTATTTCTGCTGCTAGAAGCTCTACATACCATGGTCACTTATACTGCTAATATTAACAATCAACTTTTGCCTTACATTAAAGATAATTTCAAATAATAGGTCCTGTTTCTGAGGGATTTCAAATTCTCAGGAGAACATTATCTCAATACGTGACATTAATGTTCGGTACTCAGCAAGCAATAGGTTATCAAAAAGCTTTCTTATATGGAAAATCAAAATTCATATATTCATCCTCTCTGAGACTGTTGCTAAGTGAAACTCATTTATTTAGACTAGATTTCATAAGAGATGAAAAACACATAATGGGAAGATATTTATATCTCCCATGATGACAGCTCTAGAGTGATAGGGAAAAGCACAGATGAAAAAGTTTGTGGAAACCATGAGATACTATTAAAATGGCGGTGGTGAAGATCTTTCTAGGCTATCAGCCATGTGAAAAACAGCTCAGAAAAGCAGGACATTGAAATTAAAAGTGATTCTGTTCTAGAAAAATAAAAATTGTCACCTTTGTTGGTGAAGCGAATGGAAAGCTAACGAAGAAAATAAATATGAAAAGGCAGCTGGAGAAGAAAGTGCTGATGCCAAGAAACTCTCTCACAGAATGTCTCCCTCCAAAATGTTAACAGTCTGTCCCTCAAGACAAGCTTCATTTATACGAACGATATATATACAGCTCTGATTTTGCCCTGTGCTTTCTCATTATAGAGTGGGTTTGCCAGCCTATCTACTCTATGGCCAGTCAATGACACAGTTCATGAAGGGCTATTACAGTGTGTGACACATTCTACATCCATTTTTGTAATTACATGTATCATCTTTTTTTTTTCTCCTACTTTATCTTAATCTACAGCAACAATTATGTCAATAAACATCTAGTCCTAGCCTGAGTTTGAAAGTGGAAATAAAATTCCAGAAAAGCTGGTAAAGAAAACGTTAAAAAAGATTGCCACAACATGATTCTGATTTTCTCTGGTTTTACCTTTTCCACAAAGTACATGATACCCTCATGGCCCCGCTGTCCAGGAGGTTTCCAGCTAAGCACAACATAGTTCTTTGTGGCTTCAATAACTTGGAGGTCTGTAGGTGGACCAGGAACAACACCCTCTGAATTACAGGGGAGAAGAGTAGGAAATGGAAATGAGTATGAATTCCTTCATATTTGTATCAGAATCAGTGCTGTGATTAAAGTATAGGACAGGTATTAACATATCTTGGCACCTGATATTTTTAGAAAACATAGTATTTAAAGCAATCTATGTACTGGTTTTAAATGTCATTGTTTTAATGTTAAACATGTTTATTTATTAAGTCCTGAATAACGAAACCTAAAGCCGGAGCTGTTCAAGGTTGAGTGACTCTTCAGAACAACGAACTTTGGGTGTGTGCCAAAGTCCATTGAACTCGATGGAAGTTTTCCTAGTTACTCAGCCAGACTTTTGTAGGCAAAAGGGCTGTGTTTACCTGCAGGTTCTTCCTCAGTGACAATAATCTGTCCTGTCCAGGGAGCGGAAGGGTGACCTGAAACAGATGTCATAGAGAGGATGGAAATGAGAACTTTCATGAACTTTTGAAATATTGAGCAAACTGAGTCCTTTGTGGTTCAAAACTAACATTTGCAGGATTCACATGAGCTCAGTTCTTGGTGACTGCTGTGACTGTTACTCATGTAAGGATACTCAAACCTAGTTTAAAGCAGTTCTGTAATCAATACATCAAGAAAAAATTAATCAACAGAGGCACATATTCCTTGCTGAAATTTCTCTGAAGTCACTTAAGTGACAAGCAGAGGTATTTAGCTCACTCAGAGGTATTAAGCTCACTTGTTTTTAGAGAATTAACTTCATTTTCCATACTCTGTTCATTTGGTTTATAAGCTCACTCATTAAAGGAAGAGGCAAGGCTGCTCTTCGTCTCTTTTTAACCCACTTTCCCTCACATTTCCAGCTTTCAGAACAAGGGTCATAGTCACAGACAGAAATTACTCAGCCTGACTCAACACACCAACTTGATATGCTTTGGGTGGCTCTCTCAGTGCCTTTGCATTATCATATTATCACAGCTATGTAGCTCAATGCTGTCAGCCAGGTCAATGCATTTTCAGAGATAATTTTTGCAACTGCTGTTCTCCACCTCCGTGTGCTTCACCTTACATTGGCTGATTTGTTTTGGAAATTAGAGTAGAGATGGAGCAGATGGGAAGAAAAGTGGATCATGAGGGAGAAAAGGAGATGCAACAGGTCACCAAAATCAGACTCCCTCTCCTGAGACAGCTTCCACACTTCCCAGTGAAAAGCAAAAGCCCTCCCAGATTTCAGGTTTCACGTGTGACCACAGTATTTCCTAGTAGTGTCATACCTGGCCATTTTAAATAGTAAAACTTCAGTGATGAGTAGAAATACCTGGATTTCAGGCATGTGATTTTGGGATGTGGGTGGAGAAGGGGAATTTGAAGCAAACTTTTAGATAAACTCATCACCAAGGCCTTTGTGTCTAGGACGTCTCCAGGCTACAGGAGAAATATGCTCGACTTGTAAAAAGTTAACAGTTAAGCAGAGGGCTTGGGATCAATAATCTGTTGGGCTGCCCTGATATTTTGCTGATGTTATTGAAAGACTTTGGTCATCACATGAGTGCAGAATCAGCCACCCTTGCCTGCAGCACAGAGGGTGACTATTCACAGGATCCACTCAGCTATTTTGCTGGTGGAACAAAAGCAAGTCTCTTCAGGCAGTTTACTCTCCTGTGCCTTTTCCCTGCTTTCTGCAAGTCCAGAGTGCAGCACTGTAGCCAGCAAAGCCATTCAAGCTGTTGGAGCGCTTTGTGCAAAGAGCACTGAGATGAATCCTTCTTGGCAAACGTTGTCTCCAAAGAATATTTTGTTTTTGCATTGCTCCCTCTAGTGGGATTTTGAAGGCTTAAGAGTAAATAGTCAGACTTTTTATTTATTTATTTTTCATACAGCTTCTTAAGCCTTTCAGGCAAGCTACAAAAAACATGTCTTACTTCTAAGCCTGGCTCTGTCAGCAGGATCCAGGGCAGCCACAGGCTCAGACACCCGTGACGGTAGGCTAATGCCAGCTTTGTTCACCGCTCGGACTCGGAAGATGTAGGAGCGGCCCTCAATCAGACCAGTGACAGGAAAACGGGCAAACTTCACGGGAGTCTCATTGCACTGGGTCCAGTGGGTGGTGCCAACCTCACACCTGAAACATACAAACAGCAGGAAGGAGTAGAGCTGGGAAGGGGAAAACACAGACTCCAGGCACCCAGACCTTTAGTTTCACCATCCGTTCACATTCATTGCCTGAGGCAAGCCAGCTTCCCCAGCACTGGTGTCTGCTGGTGACACCAAAGCAGCTGCAGAAGGGGTCAGGGTCGAAGTGCCACCTGCCTATGCACTGAATCCCCTGCAGCTGTGCTCCGTCTTTCCCGAACTGGGGAGGGGACACAGACAGAACTCACTCCACTGTTCAACCCTTCAAAGAATGCTCTGGGAGGCTTGGGGAGTGTCAGCTTCAGCATACTTGAAGGGACATGAAATACGTGTATCCTTGGCAGTTGCCAGGAGCAGAGCTCATCCTGCATGCACGGTGCCCTACTGTACAGCCAGAGAAATAGCAGACTTCATGGTGCGTGGAAGCCTCTGTTCAGATTTCATCTGTGACCAACCCAGAACACAGAGAGCTGTGAATATGACTGAAGTCAGAAACCCAGCTTCAAAGTTGAAGAATTTGAAGCCCTACTTCAGATGGTGCTGTGGTTGCAAATGTTGTAATCTTAAGACCCAGCAATGTGGTGCTCATTCCACTGCTAAGCCTCACACCCTGGTGAGACGCAGTTTTTTTTGGCAGAAAGAAGAGAACCAGCAGCAGGGAGTGTAACGATTCCTGCTCAAGGATCCAGCAGGAGCCATCACTCCAGGAGCCCTTGTAGGTGGCTTCCCAGCATCCAGCCACAAGGGCAGCAGGAAAAGGAACCAGCAGCTCAGGAGATGCATTTTATTGCTGCTGATTTTTTATTGATACCTGCTGAAGTAAATGTTAGGGGGAAGCCTAGATTTCTCAGTACATGCAAACTTCTGTTTTCTGGCAAGTGTTACGGTCTTACTCAGGGTGGTTTCGTGGTCCAGGTTTCTGCTCAGCGTGAAGGATGCCCTAGTTTTAGCTTTAGCACAGACTGTTCCTGCTGCTTTAGGTGGCTTGCTCATGCTGCAAGGGCTAGCCTGGCTGAATATCTGGGTGTCTAAATACCTACCCTGAAATCAAACACTACCAAAGACAAGCAAATGTATGCTCTTTAATGGATTTCTCCTCTGCAAGGCTCTGTGAGGAAGCTGAGTGCTTTCAACACTGTTTTCTCAGTAACTGATCCACAGGCAGAATTTGCAATTTGCCAAAGGGCAGCAGGGAACATTTCTAACAGCCCTGAGCTTAGTATCTGACCACATCTTCTAGAATCCTATGCTAGAAAGATACCTGATTTCGTTAGGTGGACCTGGGTGTGTGCTGCTGCTCAAACAACCCAAAGGAAGCTGTGTTTGGTATTGCAGAAATAAAGAGACTGCCTTGCCCCACAGGGCCCACAAAAGGACATGCTGCTGTGTCTGTGGGGCTGAAGGGCATGACAAGGCAACATTGCAAGGTGGAAAGTAAACTTGGCCACTTGGGGGAATATGCACCACAGGCCATGCTATATCCATGTATTCACATGATAGAAAATTGGCATTTGCTGCTGGGCAGTTTATACCAAAGCACTGCAGTTGATTTATGGTGATGTGCTGGAGAACAGTAACATGGCTTTGAATTGAACAGGAACACCATGTCACTAATGATGTATTCTGTTACTGAAATTCAAACAAATATTACCAGCTCTGAAAATTTCATTGTAAGTCTCAAAACAGTGGCTGAATTTCTTAAATCCCAAGCTTCTGGAATCCTGTCACGGTGTGACATATTCAGTTTTCATATTTTTAGAAATTATTTCCAATTCTTATATCATTGAATTGAAAAACACATAAATGCAATTTGCTTGTGAACATGAGAGCTTGAAAAACAACAGCACATGAAGAAATCCAACTCCCTTTGGAATAATATTTTGCTTTCTGGAGCATGGTAACTATTTGGAAACAGGAGGGAGAGCTCTGATCTTGAAGGAACTGACCCTGTGAGGTACCAGCATTGTAAAATCCCAAGGCCTTTTGAGCCTCACAAGAATCAGTGAGAGCTCAGCAGTGACTTGCAGAATCATTTTTGTGTATTGAAACAAACTAAGGCATAATTATTTCCCTGAAAGTTAGATCAGGCCCAGCCAACCTAAGACAAAAAGTTGTTTTTTTCTGGCAAGCATGAAGAATGAAAATAACAATGACCACTTTATCTCAGTCATTTAAACATGCTTTTAGGTTTCTGAGTTAGAATGCATAGCCGTTTTTCACACTGGTGTGCTTGCTGACCTGTCAATGAAGTACCCAATGATGGGGTTTCCTCCATCAACAGCCGGCTGTTTCCAGGAAACAATGACATAATCTTTGTTGGCATCTAAGCACTGCACATCCAGCGGTGCTCCAGGGGCTCCTGGGATTTCAGCATCAGCATCTGCAAGGATGGAGACACACATTTCCTAATGTGAACCACGGTTCTTTCACAATTAATCTTTAAGGACCAAACTCTCTTCTTTCTCAGCCAAAAAGTTATACTACTGGCTTCAAAAATCATTTGCTTTTATATTGGCAGTGTCTCTCCAGGTTTTGCTTTTCGCAACATTTACAAATGCTTAACATGTTACAACATAATGTAAATATAACAGATCTAGGCATTTTAAATAAATATTAGTATCGTGAGTTCTGATGAGGTAGCTGCCAGAGACACTGGCAAGACAAGTGAAAGCTTGGCAGACTCTCTATTTACCTCTTATTTTACTTAGATAAGGCTGACATTTTGCCTTGCCGCCAGGCAATAGCTCAATCAAAAGGATTCAGTTACTGAATACACAACACTGCAGTCTAAAAAGAAACACATTTTTCACTTTTGTGATTTCTGCCACATACCTCTAATAACACTGATGGGGTAAATATTGCTACATATGGCTCCCCCACCAGATCTCATCTGACCCCACAGTGAGAGCTGTGAGGCAAAACCTCTTCTATTCAAATACTTTTTTCTGCTGTTGTTATTTTGTTTTGTTTTGTTTTCTTACAAGGTCATCCTGTAGAATTATCAACTTTGTTGAACTACTGTTTGCTGGATATGCAGACGCAGAACAAAGACCTCTGCTGAAGAAAATGCCAATCTGAACACGGTTCTGTTTCTAAAATGAATTAAATGTCTTAGCTTCACACATAGTACTTCATTGTTTGATTTTGATTAGATATGAGCTGAAAAGGTACCAAAACATTTTGAAGTTTAATGATATCACGTTGTGGAATATAACCTTTATATGGATGAGCATATTGTTCCTTTCAAGTGTTCATCACAAATATGAAATTATTGGTGTCAAAGGGCCTTGAATAACATCAGATTCTGGGCAAATTTTATCTAAAGCTTTAAATAGCAATGCACAGTGCTGGGCACTGGAGAATTACACTGTTTACACAGTCAGAGTTCAAATTGTGAGATGGAGTGATTTTCTTGTAGGGAAAAATAACCCTTGCAAGAAGATTATGTAGAAGACTTTCAAAGAAGAGAGGCTGTTTCTCTGCAGGAACAGCATCAGTTTATACAATTACATATAGCATTTTTCAGGCCCTGTTGTGAGCTACTACTAAAGAAGACCTGGCTTAAGACTTAAGTTGTACATACCTGAAGAAAAACAAAGTTTGGCTAACAAATATTATTCTTGCATTCCATCTAAAATGCAGACTTTTTAAAATGTTTGGTGCTTCAGAGCATTACAAGGTTTTGTATTACAATGTACGTCGTTTCCCATTTTTATGCTTTTGTCTTTCAGAAAAAAAAAAAAAAAAAAAAAAGATATCTTCAATGACCTGCCTATGAGAGGTTTAATTGCCCATATCTCCTGCTTGACAAAACATGAGACACCACAATTTCTTTCCAAGACAGACTGGGAAATAGCTGGGACAATCAGCATTGCTCATCAGCCTCAGTGGGGCTGGGATTTCACCCTTGACGGCTCGCTGACAAATACTGACCTGTAGCCATGGCAGAAGAGTAACCCCTTCTCTCTAAGCCTGTCTACAGAGTTGTTATGAGCCTGATGGGCACCCCACTCACTTCCAGCAATACACATGGGTATTTCTATATGTGACACAGGACATCTATTTGTGCTTAAACAGCTATCTAAGAGTTTGGAGTAACCTGGCCACAAATTAGGAGGAGTGGTGAGAAACACACTAGCCAAAGGGGACCGTGGGGAGCATTTCAGTAGAAAATAATTAATCTAATTTGAATTTGACAAGCTCACCAGTTGGCTAGTAAGATACTCTTGTGAAAGGGGTAGCTGGTTCACTGTCAGGTCATACCTGCCTTGCTGGAAGTGCCAGAAGACGTAACAGGAACAAAATCATTTATTTATGTGGCAGCCCAATTTTAAAGCAAGAAAACAAGAACTGATTCTCCTTGCTGCTTGGTCACAGACTCACATTTCAGTCCGCTCTTTCTTCAGGTGATGAAAACATCTGACTTCAGTCGTATTTTCTGAGCAGACTGTTACGTTATCTCACACAGCTTTGCTACAGTTGAGACAGCAGTGACACTCCAAGCATGTTCTCAGAGCCAAAAATTTCCAGAGCCTTTTGAATTAGCATTACATGCTTCAGCTGCTTTTAGCAGCTGGGACAGATATAGACTCAGCACGTAACCTGATAGTCATGGATCTTCTTAAAGAAACATTTACTCTAATAGAAATTCAAGGAAGTTTTTAATGGTACAAGCAAATAACACCCAGAAAAACAACATTTAAATTCTTTGTTTAAATTATGGTGTCAGTTTTACTGCTTTATCTTACAGAATCACTGGGAGCCCAGAACTGGAGCCAGCACTCCAGATGTGTCTTACCTGTGCTGAGTAGAAATGAAGGCTCACCTTCCTCCACCTGTTGGTGACCCTCTTCCTAATGCAGCCCAGGATGTCCCTAACTTTTGCCAGAAGGACATGTTGCTGGCTCCTCTTCACCCTGTGTTCCCCTAGATCCTTATGGCCTTTTCTGCAAAGCTGCTTTCCAGCCAGTCAGCCACCAGCACATACTGATGCATGAGGTTATTTTTCCCCAGGTGTACATGTAGATCTTTGTGTTTCCCTTTTATCATATTTTTTCTTTTTGTATTGTGCATTAGAGAGAACTCCTCAAATGGTGCATAAAAAATCTTGATCTAAACAATGTGGTTTAGCTAGCATGAGTTAGTTACAAAAATACATTTTTAAGTTGCATTATAGAGTTTTCCTCTTTATGTTTTACGTTTGGTACTTTTCACAGGCTGAAACTGAGAAAGAGTTGGGAATTTACATCAATAACCCAAATTTTTTCCTTGGAATGCCAGTGTGGTTTAGACGTTTTCTAGCATGTGACACCAAAGCTTGAGGTATGCATTCAATTTTTCCAAACATAAAAATTGGAAGCAACAATGCAGGAATACATTAATATAAAGTATTATCATAAATGAATTTACTTCATTTTATATAAAAATTACTATATTATGTATAAATATATATATCTTTTTATTGGACAAAAGCACCTAAAACAGAGACTGATTTTGCCAGCAGATTTTCCTCATTTCTGCAATGAGTTCAGTTTATAAACCAATATCCTACCTCGAACAAAGACATAACCACTGTACTCTTCGTAGTATTCTCCCATCACCACACGTAGAGTGTAAAGACCTTCATCTTCCTTGTTTGCATGAGTCAGTGTTAATGAAGCTCGCTCCCCAGTCCAGTGCATCTGGACCCATTTGGATGGTGTAATAAGAACACCTAGAAATTAGAGAATTTCATGATGAGAACTAGGCAAAAACATTAAAGGAATGCATTGAGAATACAGTGAATAGTTTGAAAAAGATTGGAAATGCATAAGAGACCATTCCTACTGTACAATTTTCTATGTTCAAAGACAATCATAAATTACAGCTAATTCTGCTCTCATGTCAGTTTTATCTTCATCTTCAAGGTTTACATTCAGAAAAGAACAGCTTTTTGTCAGCTATTGCACTACAGCTTTGTGTAATTACTTTTAAAATGTAATATGTAGGAAAAGCTATGCGGGCTATGTAGATAGGCCACAGAGATGTTAGAACTTTTAGTATTTAAATTTGTTTAAGAATGATAAAAGACATTTTCACAGCCCTTCCTCTGTTTTCTAACCGTGGTTTCAGTTCAGAATGCTAAATTTTGAAAAACTTTGAATTAAAAAGAGGAAATATTACTGCTTAGAAAAGCTGAGAAAATGTTGACCAAATCATGACATTCGCAGATGCTGAAAGAAGCAAAGATCTACATCAACGAGTGTAGCTCACCATTTCTGTACCATTCGATGTCTGGTTTGAAGCGCTTGATATCAGGACTGATGACAACTGTGCAGCCCAGACTCATCGTCTCGCCTTCCCTCCCAAAGGCTACATCAAACTTGTCGACAAAGCTGATTTCAAACCTGGAAGCATAGCCATGCGGGGTAACCCCAACTGTATAAGGGAAAAAAATATTTGCTGTTTTTACCTTTTCTTTCATTTTGAGATAAGAGTAGTTAGTGAAAGTACTCAACGATTATGAATACAAGCTCTGGTAAACTTTGAGGTATAAAAAGAAACAACATGTATTCAATAATTGTATTCAGAAGTAATTGTAGAGTCACATAATGCAAACACTATCACCAGGAATCAATTATTTCTCTATTCATATAACTCTAGTTTATTTTATCAGGGAAAAGCTCCTTCCGAATTTCATTCCAGAATTTCCAAAGTTTCAGACTGAGTGTTTTGTCATTTTATTATCATGCATATAACTTAAGCATTCTTCTATTTATGACTACTGACTTGTTCAGGTCAAGCTGATCTTTGCCTTAGATGTCTCTTTTCTTCCCCTGTTTAACTCCTTGCTCCATCTCAGGGCAGTCATGTCCACTCAGCATTCATTTTTAAACCCTAAGTCTTTTTGAAGGGAGCTCTCCACTCCCTCGGGCATTCGTGCAGCCTGTACCTGCTCCTGAATTTACCTTACCTGATACTGTAATTCCTGAATGATGCAGTATTCACAGAATACTGTATGTGCTTTATACCTGTACTACACATACATGGCACAGGTCCTTCCATCATTCTTTTGAAAAGAGCTCAGCTGATAAAAGCTAGGGTCACGTTTTCCTTTTCCACAATGCCCTATGCTGGTAGCTCACAGTCTTCCTGTGTTCAATGCGTATATACAGATTGTCATCTTCCTTTTCCATCACCAAATGATAGATCCCAAGTGACATGAAAAACTTATGGCCTTTCATTTTGTAATAGTGTGTAATTGTATTTCTGTAATTTCAGAGCTTCAGTACATAAATGACATATCATATGCCTTTGCAGCATATCCCAACTTATCTGTGCTGCTAAAATAAAAGAAATGTCTGTGTGTCTCATCTGTCAAAGCCTTCTATGCACAGGGTGCCTAGAGTACTCAGCACTCATTATATGCTAGTGGATTTTCTTAACATTTCTGATCAAGAAAGTGTGCACACTGTTGTAAATTACTTCAAAATGTAAGGGTCTCAGGTAAAACAAACTATGATTTTTATCTTGGTACAGCCAACATATTCAGATTTGCTTCTGACAATTTGATTTTTTCTATGCCTTCTTGCACCACATGAAATCACATAGCAGACAAAAACTATTAAGTCAGCCAGTCTACTGAAGCACACACACCCTCTAGCTTTTTTCCAGGATACGTTTTACATATTGCAAGATATGAAGTGTCTCTCTCTTTGATGATTTTATTTCATGTTCAGGAGCAATATTAAAATGATGCTTCTTGTATAAGCAAGTAGCCATGCACCTAGAGGGTGAAGACATCGTCTCCTGCAGGTTAGGCTAAACGCTATCTGAAATTGGAGAGTTCAGTACCTTTGAAAGATGACTAGCTTTTTCCTAGCTTTTTCCTTCTTCTTCTTTTTTTTTTTTTAATATATATAATGTTACAAAATATTCTGCTTAGTCATTTGTCATCATGTCACAACTGTAAATGGATGTGTCAAACAAACATATATTGCAACTTACGGCTCAGAGGCATGGAAACTGTTCCAGCATGCAAAAGACTTGCATCAAGGTCTCCTTTGTACCCTAGATGCAAAAACAGAAAAAGAGCAAGTCCAGTCACTATCGCCAAGAGGTAAAAGGCCTCTGAGTTACAGAAATGAAATTGGTAACACACATTTTACAAACGAAAAAAACAAGGAAATATTTTGCAAACCTACTCTTTACCACAAGGGAAGCATAAGCTGAAATTTCTCCTTTAACATTCATAGCAGATGCCCGGTACTGAGCAGTGTCATCAAAATCACACCTAAAATTAGAGAAATTATTAGGTAGGGCACCCATTAATCCTTGGCATACCCGATCCTATGTTTTAAATAAACAAACAAACAAACAACAATAACAAAAACTCATAAATCAGGGTAAAACCTATAAATCAGTAAAAGTGTGGGAGATATATAGGACACTGGACTGGTTGTAGCCATTAAGCTTTTCTCAATATTAAAAATCCGTGTTTGAAAAAAATGTCTCTTTTCAAAAATTGCATGCAGATTTGAAATTGACAGTACAGCAGAAGTAGGAAAAAAAAGTCTGATAATATTTAAGTTATTTCTAATTTATTTTCTCCTGTGGAGAGATGCCTGATGCGGAAACTGTCGAAATGGTACTTATAAAATATTTTCAAAAGGCACCTAATAGTACCTAGATTGTCAAAACCAGATTGTTGCTGAAGGTTGAAGTAGCTGATTACATCTCAGGATTTCAGTGTTTTTTGACACAATTTGACTGAAAAAAATTCCCAATTGGAGGATGAATGCTGTTAAAGATCTTTTTTTTTTTGTGTGTGTGTGTATAAGTGAGGACTCCTCCATTCTGTTCCCCATTTCAGTAAGAATCAGGACCTTGCTATATTGAAAAAATGGTTAACTCGAATGTTGTTACCCTGAACTAGGTATTTCTCATATTTAACTGTACTCATGAAGGAGACAAATGGAAAAATAGTCACAAGTGTTCTATATGTTTCTGAGTCAACCATAAATAAAATAATAATGCAGATACTAATATTAAAGATAAATTACTCACTTAAGTAAATGGCATATACTCTGCTGAGGAAAACCAGAGCTGCTTCAACATTTAGCAGATACCATACATCTCAGATGTGTAAACTTGATATCTCTTATCTTTATATCCCCAAGAGATATGTTTATGCTTTGCAGGTCTCAGCCTACAGTAACATTTCATCTTAAGTTATTTGTTAAATTATCTAATATTCCCTTACGTGCTAATCTCCAGTGAGTGCAGCCCATATCGGTTTTCAATGGTATACTTGCCAGGGTGAGTTTGTACATCGATGGGCACATTGTTTTTGTACCTATGGAAAAGCAAAGAAACAATACATCACAAATGGAAGCATAATTATATATTTTAAAAGGTAAAATGCTTGGTGTTTGAAACATAAAGCTAATTTCTGCATGTTTCTCCTAGATAAAATATAGTTTATCTTGGGAAAGCATTATATATGTTTGGAAGCTCAACTTCTCTCTTTTTTTTTCCTGCCCCGGGTGAATTTTATTTTCTAGCTAAAGGAAAAATAGTCTTGAACATGATGAAAATAAGCTTATACTATCATGAACTTCAACTTGCTACTTCTTAAGGAATGGAAGATTCTCATGAGCAACATTTCATGGTTTTCTGAATGGCAAATAATACAAATTTTGTCACATTCTTACCTACTTTGGTAAGGTATTGTTTTGGTTTGCATTTTTGATGTAATTTTAATGCATATTAAAATGCATATTCACAGAAATGCCACGTAGGAAATTATCTTTAGTTTTATTTTTACTTGCATAATTAAGTTGGTGGAAACCACAAAGCAGATAGAGCTAAACTGGTAAAAAATTGTCTTGATCAGAAAGTGCATTGCAGTGATGCACCTGGCAAAAACTGTGTTATCAGAAAGCTTTTACAAGTGTATACTATGAGTATTTTCTTGATTCTCGTACTATGAGCATTACGATCAATAGTGGGAGTCAGGTAGGAAATTTTAGTGTTCAAAATTCCCAGTAAGGAGCTTGAAGGAATGAACCAGTACTGATCAGTAGTGAGCTGACACTGCTGATTGCAGAATTTAAATGAATATTTATATGAGACTTGCAGAGGGACAATTTAGTGATTGATTCTTTCTCACCAATCGTCGCTAAAACAGTCACTCATCCCTGGAAAATACATGGTGTAACTGCATAACTGTTCAAGTGAATCCTGTCTTGAGTGAGCAGTATGGAACAAGCTGGCAATAGGAGTCTAATAAAATGAAATACTGAATTGTATTAAGTACTTCTAGGTTTGATTTGAGGTTTATAAAGAAGAAGTGTTCCCTAGGAGAGTGTAATGCTTTAGTATAGTTTTCCCTGTGCTGTGTATATGAGGGAAGTGGGAATGTAAATGGTGATAGATAAAAATATCTTCATCTCACACTTTGATGTAGCCCAAACAAACCGTTCTCTACATAAATCATAGCAGATAGCCAGCCAAAGGGCTTTGCTTCTTCATTTCTGAATTTAAAAATCAGTTTCCCTCCCTGGTTATCAGTCTGGAAAGGGAATTGGTCTGTTGCCAGTGGCATGTCCCACTTCACCAAAAGAGTCAGTAATAGCCAATTTTATTTTTACCAAGAATATTAGGAGTTTGCTATATATCAGGACTGAGCTATATCTGTAATAAATCTGAACACTGCCTTTCAGCACTTTTAGTGTTATACAATAACATATTTTTCCCTGACTACAAATATTTGGACACAGTAATACACTGGGATTTGTCCAAAGTGAGCAAGGATCATAAACCCTAATGCTTTTCATCCCAATCTTCCTCTCACTAAAATGTCTATGGAAAGGGACTTAATGCAGGACAGTACTCTCTACTCTGGGCTTCAGACATTTGCAGATCTCTTGAACTCATTACAGATCTCCTACTACATTATCTTGACCTACAGCCTGGGTCCACTAAGAGTAAATCCATTCACCACCACTCTTCACCTCATCTGCACAATGGTGTCCCCCTGGCTGGCAACATCTGGGCATCTTTATATTCCATATACCGTGTCAAATGGTTTAGAAAATAGAATAATGCTACTTGCTCCCAATGTTTTCCAGGGCATATGAAATCCTATGGAACAGGACTTGACTCTGCTCTCTAATTTTCCTCCAAAAGGCTGGGCATCCCTTGGATCCTGTTGGTAGCAAAGGTATTTCATGGCATGCAGTGCTGCGCAGAAATAAGTTTTAAGTGAGTCAAGCCAGCACTGAGAAGACTTATTTTGTCTTCATTATCAGGGTATTAAACAATAATTGATTCAGTTTTCACTTATTTATATTAATCTATGGCAAGAATAGGACTTGTGTAAGAAAGACTACTTGTTATTTCTGGAAACGCAAATTCCAGAAGAGCCAAGTCATTAGTTAATGTTGGACTGCAACCTCCCACTGTCATTATGCACTGATAGTTTATGCTTTCTGCTACTGGTTTCAAATGTCCTGGGTTTTCCATATGCTTTTTCCAAGGGAGTCAGGACAGCTGCATCACATAGCAAGATTTTCTCTACAGAAAGTCCACAAAGCTTTATAATTTATCATGCACAGCATGAACAAGTCTTCATTGCTTATACAAAGAATGACTGTTTGGAATACACAACTGACATTTACTTAGAAATGCTGAATGAAAGCTGACAAATCCAGGTCAGAACTATTCCCTAATTTTGAGCAAAGACACCTGCTGCAATGGCTATGAACTCATCTTTTCCATTAGTAGCCCGTGGCAAACAGAAATCCCTTTGGAATTCAAATGTACTGTAAAATAATGCATTAACTTCCACCATCCACATTTAGCAAGTAGATGAAAGGCTGGTTCACAGTGAAAGCAAAATCAAATAACTAAAGGCTTGGTTTAAGTACATCCAGTTTTGGGAAGTAGAAGTAAAATACAAAATATGAGTATTACATCATGGTATAATAGATGCTTTATATTGGCTCCACCAATAGAATATCTATAGAACTCATTGCTAATTAATGCTTAATGCTGAACATGAGCTTTTTTTTTTTTTTCATTTTGTATACGCATTCATACATTCTATATACACAGTCTATAAGAATCTTTTAAATTAAAAAGTGAGTATCAAAACTCATTTTGTTTGAAAAAGTTGTTACCTATTACCTTAACAACTTGACTGTGTTTGTGTAGCATGAAACAGTTAAGAAATATCAGCATAATAGATAGTGAGACTGTAAAGTTTCACAAGTCAGTGTTAATTAGGCTAAATTAAATTCCATTCAGGTTAAACCTTAATTCAAGTCAAATCAGACCTTCAGCTATGACTAAGAGTATATTTTGGTGTTCTTACAATAATGACTTGCAAAGACCATGTGTATAAAAAGACTCCAACAGACTCCAAAGATTTCGGGTTTGGATGATCCTAGATCTACCTGCAGCCTTTGATTTCAAATAATTATGATGTGTCTTCTATGAACGTCCTGCATATTGAGATTTAAGTTTTATGAAGATTCAGCAGTATAACTGCTCAGCAGCCAAGCAGGTAGTTCTTGTTAATGCTTTTGGTTAATGGCATTTATAGACTATACAGAAATACTTGGAAAACATTCTCTTAAGGATAGTACTGAAGATCTATGTATTTGTACTGTTGTTACACAAATTATTTCCCTTTTAGTATTTTGCTCTGTTCTTGTGCAATGACTTGAAATGTGTTTGTTATAAAAAGGGTGTCCTCTGTACCTGTATTTTTACCTATCTTGTATTTTTACTGAAAAAAATCCACGGTCACTGAGGTGAGTTTAGATGTTGTTTAAGTGGTGACTTTCAGTGATACAAACTTACCATGTAACACGGGGTTCTGGCCAGCCAGCCACCGTACAGCGAAATTTGACATTTTGCTTTTCCCAGACAGTGTGAGAACGAGGCTCAATAATAAACTCAGGAGGATGTAAAAGTTTATCTTGATTCAGCTTTTTGTGGAATGCCTGAGTTTCTTCTAGCTGGAAAAGAAACAATTCATCATCGGTTTCTGCAGTTATAAGTGCAAACTATTAATTCTCAAAAGCATTTTTGTATTTATTAAAAGTAGTAAAATAGTATGGAAACTTCATTCTAAAATCCAGCTATGCACTTAATGCACTTATCTCACTTGGACATGGAAAACAATGTTTTCATCTTCAAGAGGTTCTCCTTCCAAAATAGTTAGATTTGGTTTTCCTATTTTTTTCCTCTTAAAAGGATCACAGGTAAAATAATTTTCCACATTTAAGTTTTGTTTGTTTGTTTGTTTGTTTTTTGGTGTACATGGTGAATGGTGAAATAGACCTGAAACTTAGATGTCTTCTTTACTCTTCTAATGCAAAATCATGTATGCCTACAGCATCTCTGACAGATGTGCTCTCAAACCTTTCCTGCTGAGGGTAATCTTTCACCCTCCCAGGGTAACTGTTTCAACTGCTTGACTATTCACAGAGCTGGAAAAAAGGCTATTAATATACTATAAATCCCGCTTTCTGCAAATTAAACTTTCTGCCCTAACTTTCATGTATATGGAGAATTACAGCTCCCTGTATTAAGGCTATTAAAAGAAGACAGCTTTTATAATCCTCTCAATCTTTAATAACATGTGCAATACCAATATTGCCTACATTTGTTGTTTCTCACTTCTGAATATGTTCTACTTGTCCTCGACATTCATTAAATGCTAAGTGTTCATTATCAGGGGTCTAACAGTTTCCAACATAATTAAGTTACTGTCTCCTATGTTTTAATAAAAATACTTTTGTTAATACATTCTAGAAGGACATTTGTTGTTATACAACAGAATCCTGATTTTGACTGACATTTTATTATAAATATTATAACTTCCAGATCCTTCAGTACCTCTACCTAGACAGGCATTCCCCACTTTACTCTTTTATGTGTAGTAATTTCCATTTGTTATCAAATTTCAACTTCACTATTTCTCAATTTTTCAAGATGATTTTGCATTTTTAACCTTGTTCTTCAAAGTGTTTACACCCTTTCCAACCTCATCTCATGAGGATATTTTAGAAGCATACTGCCAATTCTTCCGCTCAGAACATTAATAAATCAGCTAAACAAAACTGATTTTCTTTTGATATTCTCCCAGTCTGGTCATAATGTATTTGTAAATACCCTCCAAATATTGTTTATTAACAATTTTCACAACAATATCAAAGCTATATAAAATAGTTCCAGATGCTTTGATGGCTTGCCTCCATCATTTACAGATTGTGATTAAAACCGGGGGGGTAAACACTTTGGACAAGCTTGTTCCCAGGCCATAAAATGCCAGATTAAACCCATCACTTTCTTATCAGCAAGTGCTGCCTAGAGGCTGCCTTGTGGTTCAGGTAAGGGATGCTGCAACATTCAAATAGGTGTGGGCGCAAAAAAAAAAAAAAAAAGAGAATTCCCCTGCTCCATTAGCCCTCCCTGTCTCCTAGCATTACTGCAGAGTTCCTGGTGCCTCTTTTCTTATCCACCTGACACCAAGATAACAAGACTTTAAGTCACTGAAAATACATTAATTGCAAATACTTTGGTCTTTACTGCCATTATTGAGATTGCCCATGGTGTAAATCAGGGCTCTGATGTGTGAAGCACTTGAACAACAAACAAAGAAGACCCATGCAGTTTACAGCTTTGTGTCCATCTCTGTTCTTTTACCGTTTTCTTCAGGGCCACACGTTCAGCAGACTCCCGGATCGCTACTTTCCTTGATTTTTTTTCATGATGTTCCTCTTCAGAAGATGACTTGGCCACTTTGCTGACACTAACTCCTTCACCGGTTGCAAAAAGGTTCCTCCTGGCAACATATGCAGCACTCTCTTTAATTCTTTCTTCTTCTGTGTCTGTGATCCCACTGACGCCCACTTCACTGAAAGAAGGTGTAATAAATAGAATGCCATTGGAAAATTCTGAGAACATATTCCACTTATATTTTCTATCAAGTTAGCCAACCACAGTGGATGTAAAATGTCCAAAAGCCTTTCATAACACATTTCCGCTTTGAGGACCATTATCTCTGTAACCATCACATGTATTCAAAGCAGAAACTTCACTGTCTGAAGTTGTAGCTATTTTCAGTGTCTCTCTGTATAATCACATCATGTACACTTTCCACTTGACATCTATCCTGCTGTGGTCCTGTATCTCCATTGCTATAGTGATGAGTGTCAAGCACATCCACAGATCTGCTAGGCTTAAGTATCAGTTAGAGCATTTGTAGCAACAATACCAAAGGGACAGGGAATAAATGTAGCTGTATTTTGCATATATTTTGTATATTTGTGATTTATACAAAAACTGAACATCACTGCATATCACACAAGGTCTCTTTGTTAAGAGAGAATTCAATCCTTCAATGTGTGGTTGATCTTCCATGTATTTTCTTAGAATCATAAAATGGCTTGGGTTGGAAGGGACCTTAAAGATCATCTAGTCATAGGCAGGGATGCCACCCACTAAATCAGGTAGGCCAAGGCCCAATCCAGCTTGGCCCTGAGCACCTTAGGGCATCCACAACCTGTCTGGGTAGCCTGTTCCAGTGCCTCACTACCCTTACAGTGAGTAACTTCCTCCTAATTTCTAATCTAATTCTACTTTCTTTTAGTTTAAGACCATTCCCTGTCTTTATCTACCTGAGTAAAGAATCCTTCTCCATCCTTTTTATAAGTCCCTTTTAACTATAGTAAAACTGCAGTAAGGTCTCCCCACAGAATCACAGAATCACAGAATTTCTAGGTTGGAAGAGACCTCAAGATCATCGAGTCCAACCTCTAACCTAACACAAACAGTCCCCACTAAACCATATCCCTAAGCTCTACATCTAAACATCTCTTAAAGACTTCCAGGGATGGTGACTCCCCAGAGCCTTCTCTTTTTCAGGCTGAATAGCCCAAGCTCTCTCAGCCTGTCTTCATAGGAGAGGTGCTTCAGCCCTCTGATCATCCTCATGGCCCTCCTCTGGACCTGCTCTAACAGGTCCATTTCCCTCCTGTGCTGGGGGCCCCAGAACTGGATGCAGGACTCCAAGTAGGGCTTCAAGTAGCTCAGGATGCAGTTGGCTTCTGGGCTGCAAGCACACATTGCTGGCTCTTGTCAAGCCTCTCATCCACCAGAATCCCGAAGTCCTTCTCTGCAGGGCTGCTCTCAATGAGTTCTCCTCACAGCCTGTGCTCATGCCCGGGATTGCCCCAACCCAGGTGCAGCACCTTGCTCTTGGACGTGCTGAACCTCATTAGGTTCACATGGGCCCACTTTTCTAGTTTGTCCAGGTCCCTTTGGATGGCATCCCTTCCTTCTGCTGTATCACCTGCACCACTCAGCTTGGTGTCATCTGCAAACTTGCTGAGGGTGCACTTGATCCTGCTGTCTGTGTCACTGATAAAGATACTAAACAGCACCAGTCCCAGGACAGACCCCTGTGGGACACCACACGTCACTGGCCTCCACCTGGACATGGAGCCATTGAGCACCACTCTCTGGGTGCACCTTCAGCCAATTCCTTATCCACTGAATGGGCCACCCTTCAAATTCATTCCTCTCCAGTTTGGAGATGTCATGTGGGACCGTGTCAAGGGTCTTACAGAAGTCCTTTCTTCACAAAGATAGTCTTCACAAAAACAATTAAGGATTTCCTTGAAGTATCTCCTTCAGGATTTCTACAAAACAGGATGCAAAGTGGTACTCTCAATGGATTCTATCCTATTTTGAGAGGCATATGTGGAAGTACGAGTGCAGTCATATTGTTTTGGCACTGTCAGGACATTATAGCTCCTATAGTAGTGCATACATAATGAGAATTCCTTGACCTAATTAGAAGCATTGATATCCTTTTGCTGAGTTTAGTTACTTTAGATTAACATTAGATGACATAATGAAAAGAGGCTCTGAGTAAGTACTAGTTAAGTGCCATCTTGCAAACACTATAAAGTAGCCTCTTATTTCCAGAAGGCACTCAAACACAACCTCATTGTTTTATCATAAAACAATACTGCTACAAATCAAAATATTTTTCTCTGTTTTCTCTAAGATTGCTAATATTATGCATTTGATAGGACATCTCATCACTCAGGAAAATACGGATTCAAGCCCATAACTAACCATCCAACTCCTAATCTTTGGAGTATGATGTCAGTTCACTGAGATGCAAGACAATCAAACAGTATCAAATATGATGTAAACATAATTACTCATAAAAATTCCTCAAAAGGCTAAAACTGTACTTAAAAGCTTCAAGCTTTGACTTCCCTCCTGTTCAAACTCTGCCTTGAACTTTCTGAGTCTCAGGCTGCTTTAACAGGATGATCCTTAAAAGTATCAATGGGATGATACCCTTCACTTGTATGTATCAGCTCCCCACACAAATATCATCTAAGCTTCAGAGATACCACAGAGATTTTTAAAGACGTCTTTGAAAACTCAGTTTAATGCATATGAACGTAGCTATCTACATTTAGTTTAAATGAATCAGTGACATTTTCTTTCAAAGGCAAGCTGACATTATTTTATCCTTGATTACAGTGGTTAAGCAACTTCACAATATGGACCCAATCCTCAAGGCATAAAGCATCATCTGGAAGCTCATGAATATCCTCAGTTTAATACAGGACTCAGCCTAACTGTCTGCAGCAGTGGTCCCTAGATGCTTTTGATCAACAGTATTAAATATTTAGATTCATTAATCGTTTTTTCCTGTTATAATCTTCTGAGATCAAAGAGAAACAAGTCCCCTGAAATGATGCATGTATCAGAAGCAGCACAGAGTACCATTTAAGAATTGATTCTGCAGCCAAGTCTTGGAGGTTTCAATAGAAAATACTTTTCAAACAGAAACAAGAGAATCAACCTTCAAATGGCACACATAAACAATTATTTAAAGAGTATCTGTCATCTGCAGTCCTTTGGCTTAGACTTACTAGTGGCTGCAAAGAGTCCCATGAGAGATATCCAGTATCTTTAGCACCTATGGTGTTAAATCTAGGTCCAGATATTTTTATTATCTGGAATACTGGCTGTGTCTCCCTAATTTTATCTTGCAAAGATTAGGCTAGGTGCTTAAGGGGAAGAATTATGAGCTGAATAATCTGAGCGAAAAAAAGTTTATACAGCAGAATCCAAGGGTCTGAAATAGAATCAAATCATGGAAAGGGTGACACTGTGCTGAAGGTCATCCAGCAGCATGGGCAACAGCTCCGATGGACACACAGAGAGCTGACCTTTATAAATAACTATTCCTTGTAAAAGCTATCTGCCTATGGGAAGCCACACATCAGTTTCACAAGGGGAATTTGGGAATGACATCTAACATGCACATGATTCGATAGGCTTCAGCTGTTATCTTTCAAACAAAAATAAGTATCTGACAGGAATGTGGCATGCAACTTCTGCAGCCTTGGCATGCACTGATGAACGTGATGCCAACAGAAAAAAGACTAAAACAGGCACTCTGAAATGCTTCATGCCATGTTGAGTTGGGCACCCTAACATGACTCATATGACTTTTTTTTTTTATACTTTTAAACTAATTACAAAAGATCTGTTTGGGTCATTTCAGTGGCACAAGAGCACAGAAAACTTTCTGAGTCACCATGCGCAAAAAGTGATACTGATACCAACAACAGTAAGAAGATGAAGAATAGTAACTATGATGTAAAAATCTGTCAGTGTGCTTTAGTGTGGTATCCCAAAGCATCAGACAGACACAACTCAGTGACGCAACACACCATCACAGTGAATTAGATATTACAGTATTCACTGAACAAAAAGTGAAATGAAGGGAAAAAAAAAAAAAAGAGAGAGAAAAAAAAAAGCCATGATTTGTTAAGATAACAGGAGTCTGTATAAAATCTAAAATAATTGTCCAGGAGTGCAGGCCATCAGTTGGGATTTCCAGCTATTGACCAACGCTATAAATTTTACTTTTGTAGACTCTAGACACAATAAAAAGGGAGCATATTTGTGTTTAAGGACATGGGAGACAGATGGCAGAAACACTGGGTAAAGCACATAGGTAGTGCGAAACCTTGAAAATATGTTACTGCAAGCTTTGTGTGAGACGTATTTATGTATTTCTATCACAGCAGATACAGCTGGAACTCCAAAGAAATCCTTTAAAAATGCAAGAGTGTGCATTTCTGAAGGTTGGTGGGGTCAAAGAGCAGTGAATCTGGCACATAAATCTATAAGGGGTGAGTAAATATTACTCCAGGATAGTGGAAGGGGAGGAATAAAAACCAAAACTGCTGGTCTCATCACAAAAGAAGAATGCTCAGAAGGCAAAAGCAGTGATGTCTCCCAATGACAAGGTGGAACTCAGTCTCACATGAAGGCAGAAGTGACATTGTTTTCCTGAGTGCTGACCAAGCAGCAGGCACAAGCGCACTGACTCCCAAAAACAGCTTAGATGTGCCCCATGAAAGATGTGTTGGGCAGAAGAAAGCCAAGTTGGAGAAAAGTTTCTCTTCAGCTGCAGGTGGGCAAGAAATTTTTCTCCCAGGCTCCCATCATAAGTCTGCTTTCCACACCACACCCTGGTATGGATCAACCTGAACAAATGGCTACACCTGACCTGTTGCAGACTCCTAATAAAATCATCATGCCATACCCAGAAAAGGGCAAGGGAGCCTCCTTGCTTGTGTGGTTTCTGGCTTCCACACAAAGTTCACATTCAGCTTTACTGAGGACAGTGCTGCAGTAAAACGTATTACATCAGTAGTAACCATGCAATAAATACCACCAACACGTGAGATCAGTATGAATCATTGTGACGGATTTGAGAAATTACTTGGCTTCATTCCAGGTTTTCTCTGTGCCAGGACAAAACATTAGCACATTGGTTCATTGTTTCTACGGTTAATGTGTGGTAGGGGACATTGGATTACAAGCCTTTAAACCACAAGAGTAAGCTAAATTATGCGGACAACATGTTTGTCCAGTTCCCAGTAAGCAGTGTTATAATTATATCATAGTTTCATAGAAAGTGGCCCTGGTGACGTGCTTGAAACAAAGACCAGACACCTGGATTCATTTGTCCTGGTTCTGGATGACTGACCTCCATGACGGATTTTCTGCCTGTCAGTTAACTTCTCTTGGTCTTTCTATCACCCATATGAAGTGCAAACAATCACCTTGAGATCCAGGAGTGTAAAAAAAGATCAATGATTTCTTATTTTATAATTAACTAATAAAATGACAGAAGTAAGGTACCATAAAAAAAGGAAAATTGACATACCGTCCTGTGAATATAGGCACTGAGTAGTCTATGGCTTCATTTTCTTTGTCCTCAGATATCAAATTCTGTTTTGCTCTTTTTGCTTTGGGACTCATCTTATAGGATTGATCTTCAATCATTAAATTGGAATCTTTCAGTCTGCAATAAAAATCATATTGTTAAAATCAGGGGAAAAAAGCTGTTAAGAAACACTCCAACATAATATTAAAGTACTACACATTTTTGCTCTCTGTTTGGTAAGAAAGAAAATATTGTCTTTAATAACCATGGCTTCAGAGTTATTAAACACATAACTAAACGCACTTTTGACAAAGGGACCATTACAAATATAACACTGATGCCCCTTGATATTAAATCTAAATACAGAGAATAAACAATATACCTGCATATTTAATTGCTTGGTTTGAGACTTGGAGAGTTTATATACATAGTTTTGGTAGGTCTTGAAGTCACTGAGACCACCAAGTAATTCTAGAGATCGTGTCTGAACTGATGACCTCTACTTTCCCCAGATTTATAGTTCCCAAATTGTGTGATCCCCAAACAAAATATTGTCAGTCGGCAAATACATTCAAAGTCATGATGCTTTTAAGTCTTTTTAGAGAAATTTAGAGAAATTACGGGGCAGTGAATTGTCCGGTAACTGCTGTTTCCATTCCCACTGGCCTCCCACATCACCCCAAACTATTGAAAGCACAGATATGAGTGAAGTAAAATCATTTCACATTGCTCAGATAAGTGCAGAGTGAGTGGGAAGAAAGAAAAGCAAACCAAAAGAATGACTTCTGGAAAACCTGGGAAAGACTCCCCAGCTAGAGGGGAGGACTTCTGACGAGTACAAAGCATATTTGAGGCAGTCGTATTTGGGTTTACATTTAACATGGTTACAAATAATATTAACAGAACTCCAAATACCTCCCTCCTTTTCTCCAAATACAATACTCCATCCTAAGCTGCCAGATTTATATCTTAGAGATGGAATATCCCCATTAGGCCTCAGACTTTTACAAATCCCTGAATTGCCTATTCATCTCTGTCTCAGCATTGCCAAGGGAAATCATAGATGAACCTGCTTTTGGACTGGAGCTTTGTTTGCATGGCACAAGACAGAGGAGCAGAATTAAGGCCACTGTTTCTCAGCAAGGCTCTTGAGTCCAGACCTGGACCATTCTCACAGGGCTAACCTGCTTCCAGTCCCTGGGGTAAGGCTGGTAGGCTAATAACCAAACCTCGTAGCAGCACTGGGCCCCTGAGAATGTAAAGCATGTAGAACATAACATTGAAGATAAATTCTTCGCTGCCCCAGACAGCTGGGGAGGGACTCCAAAGGAGGCAGACACAGCTCTAGGGAGAGAAATCCAAGCAGAAATCACTTGGGAACAGCCCAGGCAGAGTAAAGAAAAAGGTCGCCCCCCTCCTGGGTTTGACAACGATATGGTACAACCACTATGGCCAACCACAAATGCATGGAGGAAACTCATTGTCAAATAAATTGTGGGAAAAAGCAAAGCCAAAGGGTTTTTGTTGTTGTTTGTTTTTTTGTTTTGTTTTGTTTTGTTTTTTTAATGAACTGTGATCTGTAGGGAGCTGCAGTCCTTTACTTATTGGGTGACCTTTATAGCTGTCCTATTTCAAGATGGGGCAAACCTGGAATTGTGAATCTGTCATCAGATTGCCTGGAGGCTTTAGGCTGAACCCTTTAGGAGACCACTTGGCTCCTGATCATTTGAGAAAAATCACAGTATCTTTTGGACTTTAGTTTAAATGTCAATAAGTTTTGATTTTCATGAAAGTAGACAAAATATGGTGAAAATCTAAGCTCATTTTCTTTCAGAGTTGTTACATCCAAACCTGCTCATTGTTCATAAAGCAGAATTTGGCTATCTTATCAGTTTGGTTTTCAGTTCAGGTCTAGATTGTACACCTATATAGAGAATCAACAGGCAGTATGCATAGCAGTTCCCATCACCTTCTGCCAGGTCTTTTGTTGAGATCTCCCCTGCATGTTTTTTTCTTTCTTAGGCTCTGTTTGTTGTTGTTGCTTGTTTGTTTGTTTTTAATCAAACACTGCAAGTGGCTGAAGCTGAATAACTCATCTTCATGTTTTCTGCCTACTACAGCTGGCATTAATTAAAATATGCCCCCAAAATCCTTCAGATTAATGCCAGAGATCTCCACCACAGCCTGAGAAACTGGGCTGGAATTAGGACTTTCTCAGAGGTATGATGAATAGGATAAAAATACCATACATGAACAGCAGATTCCCAGTAACTCCAGAGTTTTCTAAGCTGCATGTCTCTTGATCAAGGCACCTTCCACTGCAGACACTTGATTATTTTCTGGATTAGTATTCCTGGGTCCTTCATATTATTGCATGTTTTGGCTGGCATAGTGAACAGTCCTCATGTGTATGTGCTCAGGACCAGAAAAGCACCTTTCTGGATATTTTTTCCTTTCTTCTTCCTCGGCTTGAAGGGGTAGCTGCAGTGAGAGTCTTTGTGCTGTCTTCTAAGAGCAAGAGCTGCCTCCAGGTACTTTGTGGTGGTACATACCACTCCGCTATCAAAGCCACAGGTGGTAGCTGCAAACCAAGTAACTGAATATCCATGTTGGTCCTGTAGTTGTCTGCTGGATTCAGGCTCTCTGACATGACACTGACCAATTTGCTTCAGTCATTTGCTCTTCCAACAACTTGATATGGACTAAGCAAGACCCCTCTGAGCAGTGTTACACTGAGTAATGTCAAAGGTGCTTTTAGGCCTGTTTTCTACTCCAACAATAGTCAAGAACAGATTTATATATTTTTTAAGTTCATATAGAGAAATACTTTCCCTGATAAATCTTTTTGGTTTCAAGCAAAGATCTGGGGATGTCATGAGTGAGAGGCTGAAATCATTGCTGTAGCAATATAGGTAAATGGCACTTTTTTTTTTTGAGCCTGTTTTAAATTGTGAAATTATATATATATATATTTGCTGCTTACCTGCTTCTCTGTGTGAAGAATAGTGGAAAAAATGTTCCTTATGTTCCTTGTTCATTCTCTGCAGATCTTTCATTATTTTATACATTGAAGTTACATGCTCATGTTTACCACCTTCCCAAGGTAAGAGCCCCAATTCCTACACCTTCTCTAGGTATCCTCCCACTACTGTTCTTGTTGATCTCTGATCTTTTCCTGGTTACTTCTTAGGATGGGATGGTAGGAACTGAACCCAGTATTTCAGCTACAAGCATACCTTGGATTAACACACTGACAGAATATGCTGTCTGTTTTGTTCTCACTTTCTCCCACAGCTGTTCCTAAGTTTCTAATTGGTTTGTGTCCACATCAGAGAACCCAGCTGGTGTTTTCAGAGGAGTATCCAGAGTAACTCCAAAATCTTTCAGAACTGGAGTGCATAAACCAAAAGCTGAGATGAATAAATTTGAAATGGTAGAAAATGTTTCTCCTTTCCAAACCCTCCTTATGTTAGTATCTACTCAGGATGAGCTGTATGGAGTCTAGTGGAAATGCTTATTCAAATGGCCCCTTTGCATGTGAAAACAAATTGGTCATTACTTCTATCATGAGGTTTGATTCTGTTTTCCTTCCTTGTTATTACTGTTTCTTCCTGTGCAATACAAAAACCAAACCCTGCCTTACAACTATTATTTAGGTAGCCTAAGGGAAGACTCCGCTTTCTTGAACCAGATTCTAAAATCTTGCCCTTTATTTTAAAGTGTTCCAACCTTTTACCTGATATGTGGAACAGAATCTCCCCAGAGGAGAAGGAGCAGGATATCAGTGCTCTCTAGTTTCGCAGGGAGGAACAGTACCATGACCTTTTAGCAGCTTTCAGCCTCATTTGATCTGCCCAGCTAGCATACATATATTTTTTTCCAGGTCAGATGCTATCTGTACTGCCTTATCAAGGTTGGTGACCCAAGCTTAGTGTCCTCATTTCTTGATAAGTTTTCAGCATGTTAAAATATCAATGCCAACATTTTCTTAGTTTCTCAGTAGAGTCACTGAATTTATGGAATGAAATGGGAGCTGCATGACTGTAAATGCTAAAGGCACAGGTATTGTCCTGCACAGCCTCTAACAGTGCTCCCTCTAGCCCACCAGAGGAACTAAATACAACACTGTACAGGGCCTGTGAAACTCACAGAGGGGTTTTTTTGGTGTCTTATTCCCATATATATTCTCATATCTTCAAGATATGAATATACTTCAGTATGTTGGCACTGCCCTTGTTTCTGCACCTGAAGGTACAAGCTTCCCACCCTGCACAAAATGATCCTGAGCCCAGTGGAGGTAGAAATGTTTCTTAGGAGTGGACCACAACATCCTATTTCACAGTTATTCCACCCCAGCATGAAAAGGCGTTGGTAAGCGCATTTACACCATTAGTAAATCATGTACCTTGTCCTTAGCATGCTTCTTTAAATGTTTCTCTCTTTCACTTAATTCCACCAGCAGAAAGGGATGCATGTGCCATAGCTACCATACTATACACCATACCATACCATACCACACACCATAGCTACAGCAGAGGAGCTCCATTAGCCAAAAGGAATCTCTCAAGGTACAGCAGGAAAAAAATAAATAGAAGGTTTTTCGGCTTTTCATAAGAAAGCTCTTTAAAAACAGCTTCTAAAATTGAGAAGCACTCTTTGGTGACTAAATTCATTTTAAGTTGCTGACAGATTTGTCATGGGCTCAGGCAATATTGCTGGCAATAATCATGCTGTTCCCCTCACACAGCTTCCACAAGTTTTTTTAAAGGGGAATTGTTTCCACATGGCAAGTTGCATTAAATCAATTTCCATGCTTGGCTGTGATGTTTGGAAGCCTTCTCCTTAACCCTCACCTATAATAAACCAAAGGATGAGCAGTGCCAGCAGGGAGGTCAAGATCATGGTCTTCTCATGTTTCTTAAAGTGTAATATTTATTCAGCCCTATCCCGTTCCCAGTTACGTTGCCCTATCCTGTTCCCAGTTACGTTATTGCTCAGAAGAGCATTCACTCTTACTATCTGGCACTTGCATTAATTGCAAGTTTGGTGGCAGATAACCACTCTGTGACACAATTACCTTTGCTTGGGATTATCTGATGCTCTCAGCCAGGAAAATTACACATGGAAAAGCAATGGAAGTTTGAACAAAGAGCTTCCAAAGAAAGAAAGAAAGAAAGAAGAAAAATGAAGATGAAGAAGAGGTAAGGGACTTAAACCAGCACTCCAATTTGACAGCTACAAGATTTGTCAGACCTGACTCAGCTTCTCAGAAGCACATGGAGAAGCCATGGAAGAAGGCTGATGCCTAGCTCTGCTGTGGGAGTGGACAGCAAAACAACATAGGGGGCACACAAACCCCACTGCACACCCCTGCAGGACAGGACAGGGAGGAGGACGGGTGGCCACTACTACAGCTTTGGGACAGAGCTGCCAGCGTGCAGCTGGGCCTGCAGGCCCATCAGGACCCATGGGGTAGCAGCAGGCCTCACTCCTCCTGGCTCGGTGCAGGGCTTGGTGTGAAGTGGCAGCCTTTGCATGATGAGACTTGCTTTCTTTTATGAGCCCAGGATTTTACAGCTTTGGCAAGTGGTTACCAACAGAGCTGAAAGCCTTCGCACTTGCTCTGAGTTTTGCCAGCTTTCATTTCTCTCCTCTTCTTCAAGCTGTCATGGGTTTGAAGGAAGCTTGAAATGCAAAGAACAGACAGCCCGTCTCCAAATGGAAGCTTTTTTGTCACTGCAGCTCCTTCAAGCTGTCCATATTTTCCACTCAAGCGAGTCTCCAACATCAGAGAACTGGGATCAAGTCAAGGTCTTGCAGGTTACCCAGCCTCAAGTCCTTTGCCAGTGCTTTCCTGTGATAAATTCCTCACATTGCACTACCTTGCATATCAACATTGCCTCTTTATAGACACTCATTTCTGTGAAGTGGCTACAGGAAGGGTTGAGACACATTTTGCAGGAATAGTAAAGTTTAGCAGAAGTTACTTCAGATAAAAATAAGAGGTATCTTGAATATAAGCTCAGTATTTGAATTGTATATTTTTCCTCTTGGGCTTAGCAAGGTTTATCCTCAAAACAATATATCCTCAAAACATAAAATGTTTTAAATATATTAAACATAAATGTAGATGTGATACTAAAATCCAGTGATATGCAATAATCAACTGTTGCTTGAACAATTTAATCTGATTTTGGATTCGTGTGCACATTCAGGTTTCAAGCAACCACCGGTGCTCCAGGTCACCTAGATGCAGCATTTGGATTCAAGGCCTTTTGAACTTTTTGAAAATTTAAAGTGTTTGAAGCGTTCATTTTTTTCTGTTACACCATTTCTTTCATAATGATGAAATCAGAACATCTTTGATTTGCCCAATTTCTTTTAGCAACGCTTTTTGTCTCCTCATTATCTCTTGAAGTGTTTTGGGCTTTCAGGGGAAAATAGCATGAACTTGGGGAAAATTACTTTAAATTGGACTACAATTAACAATATAGTCATGGTATCCTTCTACTTGTACCACTTGCAAATTGCAACAAAATGGCCACAAAGCAGTTGCTTCTGAAACTAAATAAATACCAACGTTGAGGATATATTAACCATTAAATTACATTAAACATTGCCATTCAGAACCATATTCTCCTGTGTATTAAATTTCATTCAAGAACGGTTTAAATTGGTCAATCTAATCTCCCAAGTCCTTGTCTCCCATAGCAGCACTGAGTTGCTCCAATACAAAGACAGGATCACAGAGAGACATTGCAGCAGAGACATTCTTATCTCTGGTTGCCAGGATAGTATGAGGTCTGTTGGCAACTCTTGTACTACAGAGTAGCTTGCAAATAGCAACAAATATACTGTTTCAAAACAAAAGCTATTATGACTATTATTATTAAAACATATAGGAAATCTAGAAATGTTTTAAGCTCTCTCCCAGTACAATTTCAGTACATTAAACAATTCAGTTTCCTGTAGTATTGCTTTGCTGACATTAGAGTTCTTGGTGAGAAGACTCGTGTTTCAGAAGAAACATCTGACAAACCTGTGTCACTGAAGAGATTGTAAATGAAGCTAGGCAGCAATTATTTTTACAACCATTTTTATTTTTTTGTAACTTCAGTGTTCCCATTTACTGGAATATTCAAAGTTTTCTATGAGAATAGGGAGGCTTTGGGTTAGGGTGAGCAGCAACACATAGCTGCGTCACTACAGTGCAGGAGCCATTTGGGATACCTCCCCCTACCCAACACTCTCTAGAAACATAGTCCCATCACCTCCAGTCTTCATCAGCAGATTACAAATGAGACTCTTTTGCTACTCCATTCGGCGATTAATTATTTACACAACGGAAATGGTTTCAACAGGAAAGATAGGATATAATCTAGCCCAAGACAGTCAGGCGCTCCAGTCATTCATTTGGGCTCTAATTACCTGAGGTTCAAATTCATGAACAAACTCTAGCAAATAGAGACATGACCCTGAACTTCCTGAAAGCCAAGTGGCAGCCAGAAGGCTGCAATTGTAAGGCCTTATTTATTATGGTACAGTAGCCTTTCCTTCAGTGGCTTTGGCCAGGAGTCCATCTTTATCCAAAATCCCTGGAGGCCATTTAGTTTTCAGAATTCAAGTTTTCCGGTGAACAAGCCATGATTGGTTCTGCTAGTAATACTCTAATTTTATATTAACATAATGGAGAGCAGATGTTTTGGTCTATAATTTGTTTGTTATTTCCTCCACTGCTAACAACTGATCTAATCTTACTTTAATGCTCCCCTAATTTCTGTTAATTTCTGAGATACATTAAAATAATGTGAGGCTATGGTATCTAAAACATTCTGCTAATGCATTGATTGAGCAATATTTACTTTCATAAACAAAAAAATAATGGTACTCTTTGAAAATAGTATGCCTCAACCTGTTTCCACAGTGAAATGTTCAGTTTCTTGAACAATTTGAACAATTCTTGTTCAAGTTCACTCAGCACAAAAATGAAGCATTTATTCCAAGGAATAATGATATATGGGCATGTCAGCTCAAACTTAGGAGAACAGCTCCAAGTTCTTTTACTGCTCCAATGTGGCCAAGTAAGAGCCAGCCTCAACCCAAAAGCTATCTCAACAATGCAGATTAACTTCAGTTCTCCTAGTATGGCAAAAACATCGGGTGGCTCATGCCCAGCCAGTTTGGAGAATGAAGGTACAACTCGTATCTGTCATCATTCAGCCACGTCAGCGTTGCAAGTGTTGTTCTCATGCCAATCCAACCATCACACATGAGTTAGCCCAGCAAACTAAGCTGACCAGAGTTCTTCCTAGTCTCAAAGCCAAGGAAAAACTCCAGGTCTGGAAAATATGTTAACGCAAGTTACAGAACTTGTTTGTGTTGAAGAACTGGAGAGTTTTACCATTAATTTCAATAAGAGACAGTTAGACATTTTTGTTCTGGAATACTGTTTCAAACGTAGATGTACTTTTTGCCTTACCCAAGACTGTAGGATTCAGATCCCAGCCTGTAGGCTGCAGCCAGCTTGTTGATTGATTCAGATCCATGACTATAGGCAGCTGAGCTCTTGCTGAGGGCTTCAGAGTCAAGACTATACGCAGCAGATCTTTTACTTTGTGCAGCAGAGTGATCATAGGCTGTAGATCCATAGCTGTAGGCTGCTGACTCAAGGTCATAGGCTGAAGAGCCACGGCTGTATGCTGCTGAAGACTCAAGGCTGAAGTCTGCTGCGGAGGCATGGCGATAGGCTGCAGAACCCCTAGCATAAGCTGTAGATCCTTGAGCATAGACAGCAGATTTGCTTTTGGTTTCTTTTTGGTACTGGCTTACAGTTGACTGCAGTGCTTTATGGCGATATGCTCGGTCATAATGGTCATGGTGTCTTTGATAGAATGGTAAAGACATCATGAGTGCCTTCTAATTTTGTTTTTGCTGCACTCTTCTGAATGTAGATATAACAGGACTGTCTGAAAAAGATCAAACATAAAGACTCACACCAAAGAAACTTAAGAGCTAACATACAATTAGTAAAGAACAAACTTATATGAAAGTTAAACCTTTAAAAAATAAATGTAATAAATTTAGGGCTATCATTTATGATGTTTCTTGGACTTTAAGGTAGGCTCATATTTAAGTTTCAGGAAGTGCATACGTCATTCGTTGGGAACAGAAATCTTTACATTATTGTGCCTGATAATTTGTAGTTGATTTCCCTGTTCTTACTGCAACCTGTTGAAGTTTCACGTATTCAACTTTTCCAGTCATTACTGCCAGCTACTGAAATCTTGTGTTCAGCTTCTTCAGAGATACTGTAAATACTTTTGTTAAATTACAAAAGACAGACTAAATTATTAAATTATTTTAAAGAGCATGAGAGATTTCAAGAGGGCTATTAAGTTTATAATATGAGATAAAAATATATGAACATTTCATTCATTTTCATAATCCAATTTTCAAATTCAATTTAATTTATGGCTTAAGACTTTAATACTCAATTAAGAGCAGTAAGATTGTGAAGGACGCCACTTTTTTCTGTAAACATGCATTACATTGATTATTTTGTGTGTGTTAACAGAGTTTCATTTAAAGGGGCTTATCACAGTTTTACAGTTTAATAAGGAATACAGTCTGTATCCAATAATTAAAATAACATAACGTTCATCAGTCTGAATGGCCTCTCTTCTTAACCTAGAAATATTGTGTGGAAAATCATCATGAAAATTCCTCCAGATGGTATTCCTATCTAAGTTTTACTTTGCACAGTCATCAATAGATTATCTGGCAGTTTTTCATAGTATGAAATTTGATCAGGAGAGAGGTAGTTCCCCTCTCAAAATGGGATGAGGATTGAGTGCAGAAAGGATTTCCCTTTGTTTTTTCAGCTGGCAATCCAATCTTGTTTTGTTTTGCTGTTATTATTAAAACTGACGTTTTCTTCTCTGGCATGCAAAGTTGCCTCTACCAATCAATCCCTCGTGATAACCTTTCTTTTTCTTATCATTGGTCATTAGGCTTACAATGTGCCTAGGATTGTCACTGAAGAGGTACGTCATTATGAATAGAAATGAGCTACAGTGGGAAAATGTTGAGAAAAATTTGAAGATCCAAAACCAAGAGAGGTGTTTGCTATTGTTTATTATACCAATCACAGCAACACGGAACTTGTTCTGCTTCTCTTTTTGTTCATGTTAATGAAACTACTTCTCTGATGTTTTTATATAAAATACACTTACAAATCTGGAATGTAATTTTGATTCCATTAAAATCATTATTTTTTCACTGGTCTTTTTGCTTTCAAGATTTCAGTCTTTGGATTTTTCTTCAGTATTATTCTGATAGCAAGCCAACAAATTGCAAACTATTCTCTTTGGTCACTGCTCAGGTACTCAACTGGACTAAGGCTAATTATGAAGAAAAAAAAAAAGTTTCAACATATTTGTATTTCAGGGCTCACTCAAGGTCTGAGAACCGCTCTTTGCATGATAACAGAAGTGATCACTCACTTGCAGAAATTCAATAATAAACTAAGAAAGTCATTCAGAAGTCTTTAAGTATGTAGAAGAAATTGATTTCATAACCATAGGGAAACTATGACTTCCAGGAGACCAGTTTGTCCATTTACTTTATTTCTACCTGAGGAAGGGAGGAATGGGAAAGCGTGTTAGCCCATTGTCCTCTACATTAAAAACTCAGGTTCCTTGCTAACTTTCTTATTTCTCCTGCTGGCTATTTTTTTTCATGTAAGTCTAATGAACACAATTAGCCTGTTTACTATCTTTATTTCTAATACCTATCAATATTTTTTGTTGTGATTATTTCACTTTGTTGGCTTCAGACATTTCTTCTTCATTTTTCTTCATTACTTTCTCTCCCAGCTCCACAGAGTTAGTTTAGGGTTTGCAAGCCACTGTGATTTTTGTTGAGCAAAGTTAAGGTGTACAGATGAGTCATGTTTTACACACTGAAAAGGAAAGAGCATGAGAGCATCCTGTGTACCTGTTGTAGAGCATTACATTTGCCTCCCTTCATCTTCACCAGCCTCATTTGCAGCATTAGTGAGCTTTGTTGTGGTTACAACAGCCACAACGTTAACACTCATTCAGTTCTATTGCTCAGGGATTTGCACAGCTCTCCAGGATTCAAAGCAAGGAAGGTGATCCAAAAGTATAGAGCACTTTATGTATTGTCTATTAAAGAGTTAAGTGAGACATTTCGATATACATCTTATCAGAGCAAAAGAACAAGCTTAACCATTTAAGTCAGTATATATAAAATGTGTTAAAGGCAACTTTTTCTTCCAAACACAAAAGCTGTGGGACTCATTATCCTCAGGAGTACAAGGAGGAGTATATGTTAGGCATAAGAACTAAGTAAGGCAAGCTGAACAAGTCACCTCTCTTGGTTCAAATCAAAGGCCAACTCTTACTCATGTAATCTAAGAGGAAACTCCTTTTATAGGTGTTTTATCACCCTGTGAGTTGTATTTTGTTTTCCCTCTGAAACATCAAGCATTACTCACAGGTTAAGGATCAGTTAGTTACACCAGTCTGACCAGTAGTGCTATGTTTTGGGGGATGACAAGAAATTCTGAACCTTACAAGGATTTTACTCCAACTTGGGGCACTGTCTGGTTATCTGACTGACTCCCATCTCTGGAGTTTTATAAAATCCATATTACCTGCACCTCCTTAGTTTGAGTCCATTCATCAGCCCCTTTTATTATGAGGGTAAAATCCCTCTCAAGGTCTGTGTAGGATTTTATAACTGCAGAGCCTGGCCTAAAAATATAGTGGCCACAGTTAGATGAATATGCAGAGTCGGGATCTATATGTTAGCAGCTGCTGAACTGAATTTTCAAAATGGCATCTGAGCAAACAGGCAGTTCTGTACTTGTCTGTAGGTTGTAAATGCACAGTAAAGGAAGTGATTTTATTAGAATTGCCTCTTGCACTATTTATTATCTGTTATTCTTTGAAGATCTACTTCATCAATTAAAATAGTGAAATAGAAAAAAAAATACTGAAACACATAAGCTTAGAAAAATTACAAGATTTCTTTCAGTTCAGTCAATGGTGTTTCATATACTTTACAAATAATGAGACATCCTATGAAATTAGAAAATATTTAGATTATTTACCTATTCTCTAATCCCAAAGGAAGTAGCACAACAAATTCCTTCTGTATCTCAGTAATCCATGCTTCATTTGAGAGTATGACAAGAATATGCTGGGACAGTTGAGTTGCTAAGCGAACCCTTGTGCTATGCTTTGTTTCACAGCTGAGCCTTTAGAGTTCTTCAGCTCCCATCTACAACTCCCTCAAATAACTGTTGAGCTGAGAAGATTAAAGAGAGCTACTATCAACCCGGTAGTACAGACTCTAATTGAAAATAGTTGAACACATAAAATCTTCCATCATAAAGGAACACTTACCAGGGCCCAGAAGAACAATGGCAATTGGAATAGCTCTGAAATGGATGAACAACAGAAAAACACAGCAGCTATGAATGCAGCAAAGGGAGAGGTAGTCAGGACCAGGGGTAGGGACTGGACTTGAAGGTCCAGAACAAAAATAATGCCTGCAGTCAGTGGAATGTCAGAGCCCCAGTCCAGACCTTTTATGGCCAGGAGGGTGATAAATATAGCAGCAAAGAGTGAGAGAGACAGAGACAGATACCGATACCCTGTGCTATCTCTGTGCAAACACATGATGACAGCAGTGTCAGGCTGAGCATTCTCCCTTTTAAATATCTTCCATAAAATCAGCATAAAATCAGCATGCCAATTTAAAATTATTTATAGAATTTTTTCCTTAGTTAAATCAGCTTTAGGAAACCAAACAATATGTCATGTCATGATCCAGAGAGTAGGAAATATCAGTCTCTATATTGACCTTTGCCATGGTGCAAGAATATTAATGTTTTATGGATTAATTTTTTTATGCCATGCCACAGTGCATGTAACAGATATTTCACAGCTTAATGACAGACAACCTATTGAAGTAATTAGCAGCAAAACTCTATAAAGCCATACAACATGTTACAGTTCAATAAAAATGTACTTTCCTTGCTCTGTTGATAAGATGTTACATTTTTATCATCTTATTTAAATAAAATACTAAATTAAGAACATGACCTCATGAGGTATTTAAATAGATACATGTATAACCAAAGTAATTCTAAGACCCAACTTTTTGTTTCTGAATGAAATAGTGTTATTTCTAGGGATAATGAAATGGGCTTTTTTTTCACTTTGGTCACAACATTTTGGCACAGAAATGCACGTGACCCAATGTAATGGCTAAATTGCATGAGAACATTTTTTGTCATTTGGAAGAGGGTTTAATTTGTGAAACTATGCTGTGACTTCATTGTAAATAAGTATTTTGCTCTGCAGAGGACATTTAGCTTTCAATACAAATGGTTATTCCACTTTTATCTTGCACATTTGCATTGTCAGGAATGTTAACCCAAAGTTCAGCTGTAGCCACTTCCACCACACCTACCATACAACACAGCTGAAAGCTTTCCAGATCTTCCTCTTCTGCTGTGGTCTCTTACATGGAACCACAGGCAGAAGGTCTGGATGAGACCAGCTGCCCCAGGCTTTTCTGAACCATGGTTCACTGGTATCCTCTTCCTTACCTCACCTACCATAAATCCACCTGAAACCTGTTGATTTAACTTACTAGCTAGTAGTTCCTTGGGTAGCTGCTACCTCCTGCCTTGTGCTATGCCGTGGAGTAAGTTCACACACTTCATCTTCTGCATGGGAGCTGCTTACCTACATCAATTGTAAAGCCTAAGAAGGTATGGACAGAAAAAAAAAAAAAAAAAAAAAAAAAAGGTGTACAGCCATACGAACTTTGTCTTGGCTCAGGCAACTGGCTGAATGGAGAACTAGAACTCTAATATAAACTCTTCTTCCCCAGGTTTCTGCACCAATGGCAGCTCCACTGATCTACAGAGTTTGGGCTGTAATATATACTTTTAATTAGAGAAGGTGAGAGACTCCTGAATTGTGTTACGGACTCCACACCTTCACAGCGGGTCATTTGCAAAGGCACATTAAAAGACTTAATGACATACTAATTTCTTTTGAAATTTTCAGAGAGATGTAGAGAAATTAAACCAATTAAGCATCCTGGTTTTTTCCTTTCATTGCAATAGAATTTGTATAGATCACAGGTGAGATATGAAAATCTGAATAACATTTTCAGTGTTTTTCCAGGTATAACAATATTACCGAGTGCCATTTTTTAGATTCTGTGCTGATTTTGTTTATTATGTAAATAAAATTGAGATAGAGTATGGCAGCAAAATCTTTTAGGTTCTTGAAATACTTTGGCACTTAAATTTATGCACTTTTATATGCCTATAAAATGAGATAATATCCATAGCTAATTTTAAACCACTTAACTCCCATTTGAATATCAAAGTGCATGTTTCAAAGCACTTGGAGCTCTGTAAATCTTAGAATCCCTGCAGCACTGTGTATCCACATCTATTTAGTCGCACTGGTCCTAGGAGAGAGACTCCAGAAATTGTAGTTCAGTCTTCGTCTAATTAGAATTACATAGTGCCAGGGACCTGTTTGCTTTTCTGAATGGGAAAGCTGGGGGATAAATTTAGAACTTGACACAGCAGGAAAAAAATAGCTTTCTAGGCTGTTTGTCTGATTAAGTTTTAAGAGCTACAGGACGCTGTAGCTGTGAGCACTAGTAGAATTCCACAACATCCAAATCCATCTCTTTCAACAGAATCACAGAATCATCTAGGTTGGAAGAGACCTCCAAGATCATCGAGTCCAACCTCTAACCTAACACTAACAGTCCCCACTAAACCATATCCCTAAGCTCTACATCTAAACGTCTTTTAAAGACTTCCAGGGATGGTGACTCCACCACTTCCCTGGGCAGCCCATTCCAATGTCTAACTCTTTCGGTGAAGAAGTTCTTCCTAACATCCAACCTAAACCTCCCCTGGCGCAACTTAAGCCCATTCCCCCTCGTCCTGTCACCAGGCACGTGGGAGAACAGACCAACCCCCACCTCGCTACAGCCTCCTTTGAGGTATCTGTAGAGAGCAATAAGGTCATCCCTGAGTCTCCTTTTCTCCAGGCTGAACAAACCCAGGACCCTTCCAACAGGGAAGGGTCCTAAATAAAACTACCAAAATATTTTTTGGAAGGCAGAGATTTTGAGCATGTAGATTGTCTTCTGGAATTTATTTTCAAACCTGGGTCCAATTTTCTGAATGGATTCCCCTCTCCCCCAAAAAAGGAGGTCTTAGTCTCCAACTAAAGTCAATCTCGGTTTCATTTTATTCTGCTTTCTTGTGTGATGACCTGGTGCTCTTGTTTCTCAATCCATGCTGTAGGACAAGTTTCCTACATTTAAAGCAAGCTCAGGTTTGGAGACTCAACAAAATGGAACTGCAACAGCTAAAGATACTTCAAAGACTGGAAAATATATAAATTTGCTAGACAAGATTAGTCCAGTAGCTAGCAGCAGATAGTTCAGGAAAATATGCAAGAAACCACACAGTGGGAGTTTTGCAGCATCCTTTCCAAGAGGATATTTCCCCTTAGCATTTGTAGTTTATCAGATATTTTGTAATCTTATAACCCTGGGATGTGGTTTAGTGATGGGACTTGGTACGTCAGGTTGATGGTTGGACTTGATGATCTTGAAGATCTTTTCCAACCTAGATGATTACAGGATTCTATGATTCTATGTCTTATAGGAGAAGCTGTGGTTGCTTAATGAAGTCCTGTAGTTTAAAAAAAGTTAAGATTTGGAATACCTGTCCACGGCTTCGAGTAAAACTTCTGAATTTGGTATAATGCTAATCCTAAAGTGAGCATAATTTTTACTAGCTCTCTGAAAATCAATTTGAATTTGGTTATTTAATAAGCTGTCAAAAGTTACTAGTTCCCATCTGTGTTTTTCTTGCTATAGCTTGATCCTGGCTGCCTACCAGAAGCTGTCAATGTCCTATTAGCACATACGTGCCTGTTCCTCTGAAATCCTCCAGCAAAGCATGGCAGCCAGGTGACAGCAGTCTTCCCCCAAAATGTTTGGAAAGGAACAGAGAACCAAAGTCTTATTTCATCGTTTCTAACAACTGGGATTCAGAGCTCAGCTTTTGGTAACTGAAACAAGCCATAAGATCAACCACCAACAGTGACACAACAGGAATCCTCATCTAGCAAAAGCAACTCTTCCAAGTCATTTAGTTGCACCAAATTTCCAATGTGCTCTCCCAAAATACTGTGCTTGTGATGAAAAGTAATTACTTCTGGATGTTTTACCTATACATCTTTGCACTATTCCCAGCATCTGAGCTGCAGTAAGGTTCAGTGAGAGACATGCACTGTAAGGGCAACAGACATATCCAAACCCCACTGTCTGCTCCCACGGGAAAGAGACCATGAATTCACTGCAAAGACACAAATTTCTGTAAATGGATGTGATGGAATTAAGAGGGGGTGCCAAAAGAAGCCTCTAGGAAAGGAGGGCTTCAGCTCTCCTCCTCTGCCTCCACCAGCAGCTGGTTTAGAAAACAGAACATTTCTTTTTCCTGATAACAGCTGTGACAAAGTGTAGATTTATCCAAGGCAGATTTAACTAGCTATATACAGCACCAGTGCTGGTGTAGCACTGGCAACACAATGCTCAGCAAAACACCTTTTTACCTGCTATTTACTCAGCTGATCAGTTTGGGGTGAGTATTTCAGTCAGCCCTGATCTCTGTGCTGCTGCAGGTGTACAGCTAGCAGAAATGAAGTAGTTAGTCTAAAGTGCTCACATATATATCTCTAGGTGATGGCCATGTGGACATATCCTTAACTATTTCTTCAGTGCAAGAACGTAAGGACGTCAAGACTCTATTACACCCCAGATGATGCTATACAATGAGTCATATTGCAAATGCACATGCTGAAAACAACGAAAAAGATTACTGACCTAGCACAAAGAGTGCTGCTATTAAGTGAAGACACTGTGCTTATACAGCCTTATCTCTGTCCCTTTTATCTGACTGCACATTTATTCTTCCTATCACAGCACATCCATATTATTTAGGTCTGCTGCTCCTTCCTTCTTCTCGGGCTATTCTTAAAATCCCCACTCTTGTTTATTTTTCATCTCCACATTTTGACCTCAAAACACCATTCTACATGCTCATGCTGCTGGTTGCAAATTGAAGCAAACTATTTAACCATGATATTTGGCGTGCATTATTTGTTTCTAGAAATTTATGTAAAAAGCTATCAATGTACACGCTGTCAAACAGGCAAGTGGTATCCCAGGGGCTCAATTTATGAAACGTTAAATAAGATCTTAAAAGGCTGAGATATATCGTGATATAGCACAAACAAGTTACATGCCAGCCATTTTTGTTGTGCAACAAATTGTTGTTCAGCTGGGATAAAAATATTTCTGCTAAAAATCTTTGCACTGTATATTTTAAACTGAAGACTTTTGCATTTGAAGAATTTGTGGTCTTTTTTGTGTTATTGTTTTTGCGTTTTTTTTTTGTTTTGTTTTGTTTTTTTTAACCTATTTTGTAAATTTCTAAATAAAAATTTTCTGAAAATTGGGCCATAAAGATTTTTTGTTTTTCCATAGAGAAAATCAGGAAGGAAGACTACAGATATATATTACATTTCTTTTAAATCATTTTTATTTTAAAGAGTCTTTTCTTCAAAAACATCAAAGATCAGTCTAGCAGACAAAGAAAACAATTTCATGTGGAACCTAAAAGAGAACCCAGCTGCAACATAATGGTTTGTGACAGGAAAAACTGATACACTTTGTGCTTGTGGGTCCTGTTCTTGCAGCCACCAGCTTTTCCAAAGTACTAAGTAAACATGGGTTGGAGGAACCATGCTGGCAGCTCCCACAGACGAGAAGCTCTGCTTAGTGTCATTGGTAGGCTGAAGCAAAACCATTCTGAGCAGTGGATTAAAAATTAAAATAAAATAAAATAAAATAAAATAAAATAAAATAAAATAAAATAAAATAAAAATAAAATAAAATAGACCCTTGAGGATGTGATTAACTTCCTGATCTTTCCTGGTTTCTGAAAAAACAAGCTCACCTAGTGACTGTGCTAGGTGAGCACACCCCTCCCCACCCAATTTGCTGGCCCACTTGGTAATTCAGTACTGCTCCCATTACCAAACCATAGGAATTTGGGAAACTTTCCCAGCCTGTAACCATCACTCCAGCATGTTACCCACCACATTACAATTCATCATTATAATCAAAACACTTTGGTTTGTATTTCTTCTTTCCTTATAGTGGTTTTTGCTTTGTTATCCTGTGCTCTTCCTTTATTCTTTTTTCTTCTCTATTTTTCCTCTATTTCCTTTGAGTATTTTGCTCTTCACAGGATCTTAGTATTGCTCTACTGCACAAAACACTGATTTCTAAATTTTCCCTACACCATAGGCAATTGCTATTTAAAACAATACACCAGCAGCAACACAATTTCTAATTCTAGCTCTGCTTCAGTTGTGGTTTTCAATCACACTTGCCTCTAATGAGTATGAACTGTGCGCAGCATAAGACCAGTCTTTTAAGCTAATCTGACTAGTCTGCATGTCTGAACTGCATAAGAGTGTGAATAAGAGTGGTTATTACTTTTTTTTGGACTGTAATTACATGCTTGGAACAATATTAAATTGCCAAGAAAGTCATTGCTTGTCTTAAACAGAGAAAATCTCTCTTGGAAAAAAATAAGCCTATTTAGAAGTGAAGGACTGAGAAATTGGTCGTATTTTTTAGTACAATAGGATCACTGATACTAGACAGATGACAAGTGTCCCATCACTTCTGCATACAGTAAAGTACAACCAAATGGCAATTTCAGTCTACAATGAGAAATGCAGGAAGAGAAAAGAATTCAGGTTGGAAGGGACCTGGGAGGTCTCGTGTCGAACCAAAGCAGTGCCAGCTGCAAGGTTGTCCAGGGCTTTGTTGAGCTGGGTCTTGAAAACCTCCAGTGGTGGTGCCTGCACGACCTCCATGCACAACCTGTCTTTGTCCCTGGCTCTTCTAACAGCTGAGACACAGGAGCAGCATCCCTAGGTGTTAGCTGACTGTATCTTTGGTTAATGAAATGGGCAATTTCCTTGAATATAGAAGTTCAGCCTGGCTGCTCATGCCAGACAGGAGGTTTCTCCTAAAATGTAAAAATTGACATCTGGGCTGCCTCTGGGTACAGATAGCTCTGGGGAGACTACAACTGCTCCCCTGCTAGGCTGTCATGAGGGCTCACAGAGCTACAAATGTTGAATATTCACAGGCACGTGATGTCCAGAAACATGTGCAGGTCTTCAGCTGCGTGCCCAGATAGAGGATGTGGACATGAGAAAGCAGCAGTGACCTTTCTGCAGGTTCTGAAAGAGCTCAATACTAATCCAAAGAAGCCGGAGTGGTTTCAGGAGCTTAATGACCCACAGGAAGGAAGCTTCATGCTGGGTGATGCCAAGGGAAGGTCACTGATAATGGTCATCAATGCTAGGGAAAAGCAAATCTGTATTTATGTGATTTATCATTGGAAGCACAGATACAGCAAGCTGGGAGAAGACAGGGCTGTGGTCATGATAGCCATTTCGAATTTGAATCAGCTCACTAAAATTGCTGAATAACATTAATTTTCAGAGTACTGCATCTCCAAACTGTGTGTATAATTAATAAATCAGTATTCTGAATGTAAGCTAGGACTAGCTAATCAAGCCCACATTTTTTACCATAGCTCAGTGAAAACTGCTGACAGCAACATTGATACTCACAATCTTTAGCAAACATAACGATGGCATATTTGTTTTTCAGTTTTTCTTTCCAAGTGTCAGATACAAGGACAGCATTATTTCACTGAAAATAACTTTACAGTAATGAGCAAAGAGAAACCAACTGTACAGAGCTATTTAGTTTCAGTCCTTTCTCAGCTCTGGTTACAACAAGCTTACACCAAGCTTACAACAAGCTTGCAATGTCTTGGAATTCAACTCATTTTACCTAGGAGAAGCAATTGCCTGGAAAAGCAACTCTTAAGAATCACAAAGTGTTTCAGGTAAGAAAAACTCTACCTCAGTGTGCTATTATTTGAGATGTAGTATTCAGGATGTTTGTGAACGCTGCTCACTGGGTGAACTGCATGTACACGTAATTAACAGCCAGCTTTTAATAATGGTGGATGTGAAGTTAACAGGGAATTAAAGGTTCATCCACCATTGCCACAACCTGGGCAGCCAAGCGTAGGGCTGACAAATCTGAAGGGAAAACAACACTGCAGGGACATAGTCCCAGAGAATGGTACCAGGAGGGCCTGGGCACAGGACAGCTTTCAAGTCACAATCACCTTCCTAATGCAGAGCTAATTCTTCTTCTGGAAGGGGTTTTTCTGCTACCTTGCTCAATAGAGCAGGTCTGCCCCCACTCAATGCCAATGTTTTACCCTCACTGGCCAAGGCAGCTGTTGCAATTATCTGCAACAACTGGAAGGCTGGGACCCTCCTTGCTTTGCATAGTTTTCTTTTGCTCAGCTAGAGCATTTTTGCCTTTCTGACAAAAAAATGTCCTTGATTCTATTGTCCTCATGCACTTCTTTTGTGATTAGCATTAGCTGTGTCAAGTTCGAGAAGCTGGAGAGATACCAGCATTGTGATTTTTGTCTCTGAGTCCCAGAATTGTTCTGATGAACGTATTATAAAAACCTTTGTCTGAATATGTTCTAACTGTTTGATCTTTCTGTTGCTGGAAGTGAGCTGGCAATGAGGCAGAGAAGTCTCTTTTGCCCAAGTGCTTTCTGCTTTTGAACTGCTTATAACTACTGTTCCCCCAGCACTCGTATCCTGTGAATTAAAACAGGCTGGATGAGTAATTCCCTTCCAGAGAATGCACACAGAGGGCTGCATCTTTTGTCGGTAGGCATGCCCAGTGCACGGTCCTCAAATGCCTGCTCACATAACTGCAACACAATCTCTTCATCAGCAGAGATGCCCCTCTGCGTGGCCTGCTAGGCTGCTAACTCCAGCAGATACAATTCCTAATCTTTATATCTCCCCTAAGAAAAACAATGGAGGGGAGTTAGGCTCTCGAATTATTATCTCAATATGCAGGCACTCTTTAGCTTAATTAGGAACACCCTTACAGATAAAAGCATAATCTTTGTAGGAATAATTAGAACAGCGACAGGGACCCACAGCACTCAAGGTTATTAGATAAAGTTAGAAGAACGTGGGGTCTGGTTTTGTTCAGATGATCCGCTGCTTTATACAGCTGATGCCAGCCCCTGGGCTGAATGTGCGCAGCAGGAAATATAGGGTGTATCTTTGTTTGCTATTTATAGCCGCATGGAAAATCAGAGAGGAAGCGTTTTTCCACTCAATGTGTTTTATTTTCTGTGAGATGGTCCAAACTGGAGCCCATCTGTTGGCCATTCATCACCTACTACCACTCCTTTGAAGCTCAGCCACAGTGACTGTATTTGCTTTCGCAAAAATAAAAGATTTCTTTTATTTAGACGTCACTTCAGCTCTGGCCAAAGGCCAAAGAAAATTAAAGCTAGCTACATGGAGAGATCAAACTGAATAGTTCAAGGCTATTTCCATCTTCTGTGGGTTTAGGAATTAAAGTTTGGGGTTGCTTAACTTGCAGAGGCTGCACTTCTTGAAAGTTTCAGTTTCTGATGGGATTTTGCAAAAGATCTTTGCAATTAATCCACACCAGGGGAAAAGCAGCAATATTTTGGGACTAGAAGCATAATATCCTTAAAGATTTTTGTCATCTTTTTCTTGTATTTATCTATGTTTCATGAAGAAGCAATTTTCATCAAGCCTGACAGAGGCACCTTGGAATTCATTTATTTACCATTATCTCTGCAGGTCTCAAAGTGTCGTTAAAATAAAATACACAATGCATATTTTTTCAGCTAATATCAAATTTCTCTGATTTTGCATATGGAAAAATGTTAATTTATTAAGCACATCACAGCATTTTACATTTTCCACCAAAAAAAAAAAAAATAAGAAAAAAAGAAAAAAACTCTGCCTAAAATCCCATGTTTGAGGTTTCTCCGTATAGGGGTGTGTGCTATGATCGCAGGCAGGCAGCTGGATCCTCAGCCACGGGCTGCAAGCTCTGTCTATGTCCAAGAATAGCCCTGCAAAAGATATTAGTGGCTTCCCAATTCAGGGCGGATTTTCCGCTACCCTCCTGCATCTGCTTAAAATTTCACTCGTCTGTAATTGTCCTCCTGGGACCGGTATGGTGGCTGCCAGGGGAAACGCAGGGGAAATGTTCCCTCCCCTAAAGCTTATGGGGACTTGCAGCTGCGTGATGACTGCTGGAGGGTTCCTAGCAGCTGATGATCAGTCCCAGAAACGCCTGGTGGAGCAATTCATTTTTTTTTTGCTGCTGGGTTGTTAATAAAGAGGGGAGCGTGTCTGCGTGCTAGCACGGCTGAAGTGA